TTGATCGAAGATGATTCTTTATTAGTTTTCATTTTGTAAAAGAAAACTGCATTTACTATAGTAACTGGTAATATAAAACAATTTTTAGTACAGTTAGCACATTTGGAAATAGTTTATTATAATTATTTAATATGAATTGCAATATGTCTTGCACGTTATTTACATCTTTTTGGTCTAAGATCAATTCTCGTAACAAATCAATTTCCTGGATCAAGTCTTCAGTTATATCTTTACTATAAAATTTTACAAAATCTCTAGAACGGTTTTCTAGTTCATATTTTTCTAATGTTTTTATATCAATAATTAATATAAAATCAGAAATAACATTGAGTATATTTTTAAATCTCTCATCTATTTGTCAATAAGAGTATCAATCACAACGTTGAAAAAGTAACATCTAAATTCCTCTACCAAGTTTTGTAAAAGTTTATCTTCTGCTCGTTCGGAAAATAATCTTTTTCTTTTTCGAATTATTTTTCAGGGAAGTCTTCTGAAATATTCATTTTTGCGTGGTCTAAAAATGTCTTAAATTTTGGATTTCATTTTTAATTTTATCTACTAAATTAAAAAAGCAGAATCAAGAACAATTGTTTTTGCTTGAAATAGTTTGTTGATATTATTAATTTTTGACAATATTGTAAACCATACCGATAAGCATAAAATAAATGGCATTTTTTCTAATGAATCTAGTAGAGTTTTAACTTCGGATACTGCTGCGTTGTCGTTACTTGCACCAATATACAGTAGACCCCCCTATAATGCTGTTGATAATTCCTTGTTATATGAATTCCATATTGTATGAGTCACTTAGATTTTACAAACATGTGTGCCGGGCTGTGAACGGTTCGCATGTTTGTAAAATCTAAGTGACTTGTACATCATGGAATTCATATAACACAGAATTATCAACAGTGTTAAATTTGTATATATATAACAGTTGTATATATACAACTGTAGTTAAATTTGTATATATATAATATTCGTAATATGAGTATTGATTTTACTAAAAAACGTGAAGTAAAAAGTTTAAAAAATAAGCTTTTAAACAAATAATACAGTCTCACACTAGCAATAATGTGTTACATTTCATAACTTACTTCATCTATGTTAAGTAATGATAGCTGTTAAAAATAAAAACTTTCCATTCAACCCTATAAAATTAATTGTATAAAATGCTCAATGAAGTTTTTCTTGACACTAAGAATTTTTATCTACTTTTTAAAATGGTTTTAATTAAAAACATCAATTTAATTTATACTTTTTAAGAAAAGGATTATTTTAACTTTGCGTATCATTTTCTGCACTACTATTTGATTTTAGTATTCTTTAATTGTATTATAAAAATTGTAAATCTTTATATCAATCATCTGATAATTCATAGTATATTCATTAATATAATATTATGATTTATCAAATTTATTGTTTTACACTAAATATTTAATTAATTAATATTTAAATTCAAACATTAATTATATGTTATTGATGTTTAATTAAATTAATATTTAATTAAACATAAAAAGCTTGCATGTAAATATTTGCATATAGTGTTAGAAATTTCAAAATCTATTAATTTATAAAAATATATAAAATTTTCAATATATTTTACATCTTATAATTTATAAAACTAAAACCAGGATTCTTCAAGAGGAAGTTTTGAAGATAGAGGTGAATCTGATGATAGTTTACCACCAGAAATACCTGAAAGAATATCTCCAACAAGCATTCGACGGATTAGACGTGAACATTCTCTTGGAGAAGAAGGCACAACACTTAGGGAAGCAATTCTTCGTGAAGGACATTGTAATGCAGATTCAGATTCGGATCCACTTTATGCAGCTGTTGATTACTCAAAGAAAAAATCTCATACTCGTTCTGCTCCACCTCGTGTGAAATTGGAAAGGAAAAAATATAATGATGGTAATGCATCTATATTGAGTTCTACAGCATCAGAAGAACAGTGTGATTCTGAAGCTGATGTGCGACATGATTCTAGAGTTGATTCTGGTTCGGTTGATGTGGATACACCAGCATGCTTGACTCCAAGAAGCCCATTAACACCTAATGCTCTTGTTTCTATCTCGGATCCCCCAACTAATGGAGATAGTTCGGATGGTACATCTCCACATTCTGATGGTAAGAGAAAACCTGTACCCCCACCACGCTCACGAGTTCCAGCCAAGCCAAAGGCAAATAACTGCTCTAGTTCTCCAGTTGTTTCTCAGGTACAATCACAGCCAATGGTGTCAAATTCAGAAATGAATGGATCTAAACATGGTGCTTCGTCTTCTTCTAGTGACAATTATGATAATGTGGAATGNCCGAAAAATTTTTTTACAATATATATTACTGGAGGCAGAATCACAAATTATCAAATTAAAAGAATGTGATAAGCAAAGTACATAAATTGCATGAGGGTTTAAACTAATTATTCTAGATTGTACGCTTTTATATTTTCCCTTCATATTGCTATCGTTATCGTATGCCTGTCCTCTACAATTCATATCTAAATCAGACTCACTTATTTTTTTTGAAAGCTATTTGCTAGTCATATCAATTACTTCAATAAACCTTATAAATGACTCATTTATAATTTATTTTTTGTCTACAAAATTTACATATCTAATAATTATTGAAGTTTGTTTCTTGTGAGAATTATGAGTACACTCCATTAGGATATTATAATATGTGGCTACTTTTGAATCGTCTTTAATTTTTTTAAAGACTTCATTATCTAATGCTGCAATAATTTCCTCTTGAGATCTGAGCCGAATGGTGCACATTTCATTTTCGTATTCTTAATTCTGTTTACCTAATCCATTAGCACATGATCATATTTATTTAATAATTCCATTAAATTTAAAAAATGTCCATTGTTCTGCGCTCCTATTGATTCAGGGGATTCCCGAAATGGCAGATTATTACTTGCTAAAAAATAGAATGAGATTTACAATTCTTTGGAATAGTAATTTTAGTCGATCCGTTTCTTCATTTATATTAATTTCATTTGCTCTGTTAACAGCCGAACATAAATTAAGCCTTTTCAATAATTCTACCAAGCAATAAAATAATTAAAACGACCAACAGAAAGCTTATTATCTCGAATTAAAGTTGACAGTTTTCTCCATTTATTAAAACCATATAGGGGAAGGTGGGGCAGAATGAGGACGTTAAGGTTTGAAAAGTCATAAGATGGCAACCACTTTAAAGAGAACAATAATTTTTTTTTATTCTCAGCAACTACGACATTCGGTAATATATAATACAAAATTTAATTTTTGAAAAACGTTTTTAAAAACAAGAAAGTTTAATATTTTAAAATTATACGTAAATGCACCATCTTGTCCCACCCGTGGGGTAAGATGGGAATATTATTTTTATATACAAGAAAAACAAATTAAAATGGTTAAACTGTCGTTTTCTTCAATATTGGCGCAAGAACAATGTGCCCATTTATCACAACGACTACATTTATTATCATTTTCCGAATAAATAAATATAAAAGTTTGAACTTACTCGTATTTACTTTACCAGACAATACTGTCACTTCGCGCATGCTCAGTTTCGCTATTTTGTAAGCAGACGATAGCTTTTTTTTCGTGGAAAAATTTTAGACTTACGAATTTCGATTGTTATGTCACATTTTATTTCTTGTTAAGATAGTATTTAAATTTAAAAAATGTTTTCACAAATAAAATAAAACGTAAAATCATAAATAATAAAGTAATACAGTATATACTGTATAAATTTATTACAGTTAGATATGATTTAAAAGTGGAATATTTCATTTTCTATAAAAAGATCATTTATGAACTTATTATTTATATTATATATTCGAAAAAATGATATAGAATTATCAATAACAACGAATTTAAAACTAGTTCACTGCACTATATTGCAGTGCCTGTAGCCAGCAGAGTTGTCTAAGATGGGGTACCCCATCTTGCCCCAACGTGCACTTTTCATACTTAATGCGAACACGGGTCAACTTTATTTCAAAACTAAACAATTTCAGTCTTAAAGGTTACTTCAAATACCATAATATCTTTATCTAAAAAGTAATGTAAAAGTTCACAATTATGCTTACTTTGTAGAAACTTTGTAGCGGGCGTAAAACTAGACGAAGTATTGCTGAAATATGGAAAACGTTTTTACTTCCAAACAAAGAGAGCGATTCGGACGTTCTCTCGTCCCGTGTTCCTTTTGAGGTTAACATTTAGTTCCCCAAATAACAGCTAGATGAAAGCGCGTTAACCAACACCATGGCCCCATCTTGCACTACCTTCCGCTACTGTATAAACCGTGTTGATTGATCTTCTCTTCTTTTGGAAAATAATACACATCAAAAGCAAAACACTGAGTCTTGATCGTCCGAGTAAACTAACCAGCTGAGTTTCACTATTTGGCATTTTTAAAATAAAATATATAATAACGTTTAAATCAGAGCGTTTAATTCATGATAATGGGCCCCAGCAATCGTCACGATTGCTGGGGACCGGATGCATTTCACCCACCGCACCCTCAGCTGGTCGGTCCTGTCGACAAGTTAAAATAATCTTCTGTTGAACGTATGATTCGTGTTACTAAGAATCACACGAGCAATGAACTCTCATTATTAAAGCATGTTGACTGGTAAGTTGTGTTTACGATAGACGAATTAATCAAAAAATATACCTAAAATACAAAAGGAAAGAACAACTTTTCTGAAAATTAATGCAAATTGCAGGATGGGAATTGTCCTCCTAAGACTTACGAACGTCATTATTTCCATTAATTTTTCAGCTTCATTCACTAAGCATTAAAGAATGCTTTTCAGAGAAATATTTTTTTTACTTTAATTGATACGAATTTTAGTATGAAACAAAGCTTTAAATGTGTATGGAAATATTAGTGATACTCTTTAAATTTCTCAATTAAATTTCTATGAGAATTATTTAGGATATTAATTCGGTAAACGCAGTAAAAACAAACACAATTTATTTTATTTCAGAAACAAATTATAGTCATTTATTTCTACTACTAAAATAATCGTCTAGTATGAAGTCAGCAGCTTTTTCTGCAATCATTATAGTTGGAATATTCGTATGGCCTCCTATCATAATTGGTATAATAGACGCATCGACCACTCTCAAGTTTTGAACTCCTTTCACTCTGTTGATTACCATAAAATAGTGTTATTTTAATAAGTATATTTTCTGTAAACATTAAAAATCCGAAAGATACTCACTTGAGTGTAGGATCTACTACTGTAGTAGGATCTTTAGGATGCCCCATTTTGCACGTTCCTGCGAAGTGGTGTGCTGGAAGTGGGAATGCTATGAGCATGCATCCCAAATAATTATCACTAAAGAGCTCATATTTCTCGCATCCTGGAATTACATATGGTAGGGGACGAACACCCAGCTTTTTCATGGGCTTAGATGATGCCATTTGTAAACAGACTTTTAAACCTGTAAAATATTTTTAGTATAGACTATAGAAAATATATACCGGTATTTATGTAATGAATTTTACCTCGCTCGACAATTAAAATTATTTTTAGATAAGGTTAATTGTAGATTAGATATTTAGATATAAGTGCTTAGAGTAAAGCTTTAGAGTATTAAAACACTATACAAATTTTCTTTAACCATATTCTTTAAATGGATATAATTTATGTTTATTAAAATTTATAAGAGTAAGTAAAATGGAAATTTTGTATAATATTTTCTTTTATAATTTCCGTAAAATTATTCTATTAAAATATCTCTAATAAAACGACGGATGAGAAACGAAAGCCAAGGTTTTATCTTTGTGAAAACGTTGTATTTATATTTATTGTATATTTATTAAATTACATAAATATTTTTAAGGTTAAATATATAAACTGTAGCTTATATATACTTTAAAAGAATGATAATTTAAAATCGAATATCATCAGTTAATAATAATAATGCTATAATCATAAAGTTTTATTATTAAAATAATTTATTGAAACTTTACCTTCAACAGAAACTTTTAAGTCATCAGTATGCGAAAAATAATTTAGGTCAATTAGTGGATATTCATATGGATCGGTAGATTGAAGAGTTACCACTCCTTTGCTCTTAACTCGTGTTGGATTCGGGATACAAGTAATTGTATCTAGATATGAATATTTCTCAAAAATTTTCTCTAGCTGCAAAATAAAATATTTAATATATTTTACATTTACAAGCAATATTCAAATCCAAATACTGTATTACAGTTCAAATTTAGTTTTTACATAATAATAATTTACTTATAGAATAATTCGTAAAAAGACAGATATTTTTAAATATTACATACTTCTTCGACAGCTCCAGACATTTCTCTTAAGACGCTGTCTGAAGAAACTGATCTCGATACCCAAAATATTTCCAAATCGGGCCAATCTAAATCTTTATTATATTTAGAATTCGCAAATCCGATTACTTCTACACCTCCCAAAGAAGTCAACGGTCCTACAAAGAATTAATGTTTTCACTTAGTGAAGAGCTTCAACAAAATAACTCTTACCTTCTCTTTTATGCAGATAAGTTTTTTATTTATTATTAAAATTTAATTTTAATTGCCTGTTCCATTGATTAAAATATCCGTAAAATCTTCTTTTGTGATTCTTGTTTCTTTAAAAGTATATGTATCGACGATGAATTGAAGTCCCAATGTAGATACGTGATCGATTAAGTTATTGCCAACAGGTAGATCCGATTTTACGGGTATCTGCAGCGAAAAATAAGATTTAAATATTAAATAAATGATTATAAACAAAAGAAATGATATTTCTGAAGGTATCTGATAGAAGTATGAAATATTTAGGTTATTATTAAATAAATCTTCCAAATACAGTAAAACCTGTTCAAAACAAAACCTAATTAAACGGCAAGAATTCTGCGGAACACAATAATTTTCTGTGTTAAAAGAACAGGCTCAACACGGAAACCTGCCAAACCTGCCAAAAATATTCGGTACGTGTACACAGGTTTTACTATACATAAATTGTGTTTACTTAATTTTTGATTTTGTAGTAAAATTATTTTCAATTTATTTTGAGGCTTTTAATTTAATAATTATACACAGCGTACAGTACAATAAGTGATACTTACACGAAATTTGTTTAAAACTTCTTTAGGCCCAATACCTGACAACATTAAAAGTTTGGGAGAATTAAATGTTCCAGCGCATATAATTACTTCTCTCATTGCAATTGCTCTAAAGGTTTTGTTGTAGTGATCGAACAATACTCCATACGCACGATTATGTTCATCGATCAATATCTGTAAAATACAAATAAACACTTAGTAATAATTTATTTTATCTTTATTTTTATAATTGTAAGTTTTATTTACTTTAGTAACATAAGCTGATGTAACAATTTCAAGGTTTCTTCTTCCAACTACAGGATTAATAAACGCATGAAGTGTCGACCATCTTCTTCCTTTGTTAATTGTACCTTGAGGAGGCATAAAGACTGGAAATATTTAAACAAATTTAATTTAAAAGATCAATTTCTATTGAAAAATATCCAGAATAGCTGCTTCATAATTATTGTAGAATGAAACAGAAAAACTATAAAATAAATTATAATAAGAGTTAATGTATTAAGATGTTTAAAATTTATTACTTTAATCATTTTAAAAACTATTGATTAACAGATCTTTACCTGCTTGATTTGCTGCGTTATAATCTCCTAGAGAATATCCAATTGCTTTTGCTGATCTCAAATAACCTCTCACCATTGGAGTATGAAATGGTGGATATTGAATAATTAACTCCCCATCTACTCCGTGATAACCTATTTATAATGATTCAACAAAAAATTAGCTCTATCAAAAGTTAATAAATTTATATAGAATTTTCTAAATTTATATACTTTCTAAAAATTACTTCTAAATTTGATATTACAGTGTATTGAATATGTAATTACATTAATCTTCGAGATTAAAGAAATTTGGAATATATTTTTATAATTGTGTTCTAATCACTTAATTTACCAATTTATCCTTAAAATAAATAAATAAATAAATATTTGAAAATNTCGATTAGAGCATCTTAGAGCGTCAAACTAATCTTTCTAGATGATTTATCTTTAAAATAAATAAATTTATTTATTTATTTATTTTAAAGATAAATCATCTAGAAAGATTAGTTTGACGCTCTAAGATGCTCTAATCGAATTATTTTCACATAAATACAAGGAAATTTGATATTTCTAGAACAATTAATAAAATATTGATAACTTGATACGTAACATAGTAGGATATAACATATTTTAAAAATTAGAATAATATATATCCATTTAAACCCATTGATATAGCCTATACTAAAAATTTAATTGATTCATAAAAGTATAATTTGTATTATGTAATCTACGATGCTTAATTATAAAAAAACTTGCTATTATAATCAATAAAATTATGTAATATATGATATAGAGAACTAAATTTCATTTAAACTCATTAAAAAAAATAAATAAATAAAATTGTTGACAGAAATATATATACTTTTAAAATTATTATTATTTATAAGTCATTGTATTAACAGTTAGAGAAATTTAATGATTTTATTACCAAATTAATAATATTCAATAGCTTAAATCATATTATAATTAATGTTAATTAATATGATGTCAATTCTTTACCATTTTTAACAATTCTACGGTTTCGATTATCTTCACTCTTGAGGAAATAAGGAAAAACATTCCTCCAATCCCATCCAATTGCACCGTTCTTAGCCCAATTATCGTAATCTTTTCTATTTCCACGAACGTATAGGTTATGATTAAGCATTGGTGTTCCACCCAAAACTTTTCCGGCTCCTAAATTAAATGACTAAATCGAAAAATTAAATATTCTCTAAATACAATTTTTATTCATTACAATTAACAGAAAAACAATTGCGAACTTACTCTTCCTTTTATAGAATGAGCAATTCTTCTGCTCGGTACAGTAGGAAAATCCCAATTATATTTAGTAGCTAATGCACTCATATGAAGAAATGGAATTTCGGATATTAGAGCTGGTCTTTCGCCCGCTTCTAACAAAAGAACATTGATGGAGGGATTTTTGGATAATCTATTGGTTAGGACTGATCCACCCGAACCCGAACCAACTAAAATATAATTTAGGAATTGCTGATTAAACTGTATTTACCATCTTACTGGTGAATATAAATAAATATTTGACTTTTGAGAGTTTAAATTCAATTTTTCGTAATCAGCATTAAAACATAGTAGCCATTTTAAAAATAGTCAATAGAATTTCACGAATAATTTTAGCTTCTTAATTGTAAGAATTAATTCTCAAATTCAATTTAAAATGAAAGTTTAATATAAAATAGAAGAAATATAGATTAAATAAACTACAAAATACATATAGAATAAATTCTTTTTCTTACCTATAATATAATCGTAATAGTTGTTGCGATAATCAGCGTACGATAGAGAAATGAAAAACAATATAAAAATAATACAAAACTCCATATCTACAGATATAATTTATAAACGGTTAAAATGTAAGAATTCAACTTTTATACCTGAAATCCGTTAATTACAAGTATAAAAATTATATTTTTCTCGAAATAATTTGGGCAAATAACAGTTAAATAGGACATAGAAGTAAAAAGTAATTACTTTGTTACCTTGCGTGTCCTACCATTGACACTTGAATAATTTTATGGAATTATGTAAGAAAAAATGATAATTTGTTTAACTTTCAAATATTAATACAATTGAGTCATGCTTAAAATGATATTCGGAAAACGACAATCAACATATTCTATATTATTGCTTTATATAATTAAAGCTATTTTAATAATGCGAATAATTTTAAAAAGTCAAATATTCAGTTTATATAAGTTTTAAATACGAGTATATAACTCACAGTAAAACCTGTATAAATTGGCCGAAGTCATAATCGGCTTGCTAAAAAAGGCCTTCTTACTGCCAGTGGGGAAGAAAGAATTTAAAAAAAAAAGCAATTAAGTCTCATGATTCTTAGTTTATTTTATATATTTTCTGATTACTTTATTGGAAGTTGCTCGGTGCCGAATATTTTCTTCCGATTTAGCAGGTTTCCGTTTTGAACAGGTTTCGTTTTAGATAGGTTTTACTGTGTACATATTTACATTTATTCACATACACTATGAAAAAAACCTTTGTTTCATTTTTAAACTAGAGGTTACAAAATGTCACATCGTGGTGGACCGAATGTTAGTTTTTATGACACGTATCAAGGCCGCTTTCTTATTGAATTAGAATTAAAATTTAATATGTTAGACAACGCTTGTACTTGTTTACTAATTAATTTAAATATTTTTAATGAACCACCGATGGTAACAGGTACGAATCACAGTTGTGGGCTTTCGAGATAAATTCGATTGTGTCACACTCTTCACAGAGCCACGATAAAAGATAATTTATAAATGTACTGTACATTGAATTACAATTTTATCCTCGATTAAAAAATACATAAAATGAATTTAAAAAAATATTGAATTTTAAGAATTAATTAGCTTTTTAAATCCTCTCTTCCTCACTGACAGTAAGACCTTTCTTTTCCTATAGAAAACGTATTTTTTAAAACTTTTTTCTCCCTGTGAGTATTAAGAGGGCCTCTTTTAGCAAGCTCATTATGGGTTCGGCCAGACCCACAAAGAAGAGGGACGGGACATATCCAGAAAGAGCACTCCGAAAAATCCGTCCGGATTCGATCCCGGGTGCCCCAGAGCAGTACACTGTCACCCAAACCGCTCGATCCGTTTGGCAATAATTAATTAGTGAAGAAATTATGATGGAATCCCACAAAATCAAATATTTATGCATCAACTAGAGCGAAAATTTACTGACTTGTTAAAGAAAATTATCAGTTTTTATAGAAACTTTACTTACAGATTTTGTAATATACGTTTAAAATTCATAATTTACTGTTCGATTTCTTTATATTTTCCAAATAAAGCTACCACGCGAGTTGTCTTTTGTAATACCAATTTAATCGTATTGAAATCAAGCAGAATGCAATGAGACATACAACAATTGTCAAAACGAGAACAAGGAAAATGATTTCGATTGATTGCTTATCACTCGATGACGTTTGAATGCATCGAATTTATATTTTTAAAATATATTTAGGAAATTTAATGTTTTAGTTTATTAACCTGATCTACTTTATAGATTTTGAAGATTATGTAATCTAAATACTGTAATTATTGAAACATTTTAATTAATGTTACTCAGAGTATTAAAATAAGTATAATTGATTCATTTTATGTAATAATTAAAGTAAAAATTGTCTTTAAAAATATAAAAAATATTTTAAAGTAAAACTTTATTAAGAGATTGAATTGTTATAAGATATTTTGATAGAAACCGTTCATATAAAATATTAATTATGAAGGATTAATTCTAGAAGAAAAAAGGTAATTCCAAAGTAGTATGGAAAGAAAAGAAATCGGATTGACTGGATTGATGAACTGAGGGCACAGTATTTGGACGATCTGCAAAGGAACAGTGAATTCGAGAGTATCTAGGATTGATATTGGCTCTTCTGTAAGTAATACACCAACAAACTCCGGAAAACTTCACGTAGCCAGTCAATCATTGAAGGGCAAACCCGCGACTAACTACTATTTAATGCTGATTTCAGAAAATTTTAGAAATTGTAAACTTATTATATGCTTTATGTATTAACAAGTCACTCTGTTAATAACAGAAAAACGCATTAAAAATTACAGTAAGACACACTTTTAATCCTTTTCAATTTGCATTTATTTTTTGGCGCCAACAATTATTAGGCGTCTTCCCAGTTTTTGCAAACTGAAAGAGCACAATTTAATTTAAACTTGACACTCTATTTTCTATCCTTCATTACAGAGGAACCCCGTGGCTTTCAATGACTCAAAGCCAGGACAGTAATTTCTTTATAAAGCGAACTATTTGGATCACCACAATATGTAGATATTCAGGTTGTACTGCCCTCAAAATTAACGCTATATCCGCGAATCTTTGAGAAATAATTTGAAACAACCTTCTTATATACTGTTACATAAAATTCCAAATAAAAATATCTTAGATGTAAAAAATTGCCCAAAATAAAATCTTATGACAATTTAGACGACAGTCAAAATTTTTCTTAGTTTTTCTTTGGAAAAGGTAAGCTTGGCGCTTGGAAGCGAAATCTATCATTTTCATTCATTAATCTTTAATAACATTACATGAGTTATATCCCCTGATATTGCAGTGCATAATCAGGGATTGTTTACAATATAATCAAATTCAATAAGTACATACAATATGTGAGAGAGAATAATAACACAGACAAACATAGTAAGTAAAATGCAGAGAGGGCAAAATATAAAGATAATACAGTAAAATAAGTGTGATAGGTATAACATAAGGCTGTGACAATAGCCAATGACAATAACAAAAGATATGTATATCAGATCCTAAAATTATAGGTTAATATATTCAATATATAAGTACTGTATTAATATAAAACATTAAATATAAATGATAATCATATATGCAAATAGGAACCCATCAAAATAGGCAATTGTTCTAAGTACATAGAAAAATATACAGTAACACAGATAATGATTGATATAATGAAGACTATAAAATATCTTCATAAAGTAACATAAAATTAGTCTTATATCATACAGTATAATAACTAATCATATGTACAATTTAGAACACGACAAATTTAAAGATAATTTTCCAATACAATGCTTCAAATATTAATGGCTATAGCATTAGATACATTAAAGTGTTAAACATGATTTTACTATTGATAAATCAATCTCAAAATGTGAAACACTACATGATTTAAAATAATATTACGAAAATATACAATAAACCGTTTTATATACCTTCAGGTTATCATGAAGTTGGCGGAGAATAAATTGTTCAGATACCAGAATTTCTTTCTCCTGCAGTCAAAGCATACATAGAAGCAGCCGAAAGTATTGGTTATCCACTGGGGGATTTCAACGGTAAAAGTCAAACAGGTAAGTTATAGCCTGTAATAAACTTTGTAGATTCTATCAGCTCTGCTATTTCTGATATAAAATTCACGATTTATTTCCAAATTAACAACAAATTATCATTTTTCAGTGTTCATGCCACATCAAGGAACAATTAATAAAGGAAAACGATGGACTTCGCTACGAGCTTTTATTGATCCTATCATTGGAAGGAGAAACTTTCGTTTGATTACATCAGCTTTCGTTACCAAGGTAAGTTTAAAACGAGTTTCGTGAGGAATTTTAATATTAAACAAAAAATAAGCAAAAGATGTATATTGCAGATTTTAATTAATGAGCATAATCGAGCTTACGGCGTTTTGTTCAACCATAAAGGACATCAGTTAACAGCATTGGCAAAGAAAGAAGTGATTATAAGTGGAGGAACATTGAATTCTCCCAAGCTTTTAATGCTGTCAGGAATTGGTCCGAAAGAAGAGCTGCAAAAATTACAGGCAAGTCGTATTATCTATATCTATATCTATATATATATATAAATGGATATGTATGTCCCTATATTTCACTTTTTCGCCAAAACTACACATCGCACGTGAATGGTGTTTGTATGTGATAGTAGCCCCAAGCAGTGCCGGCCCGAGGCAAGTTTTAGGATAGAGCGAGATTTTATTATGGCGCCCTCTTAGTTGACCCTAATTTATACCCTTTAATTTTCTTTACCACTGAGGCGCCCCCTAGGATTTAGCGCCTGGAGCGGCTGCTCCGTTCGCCCTATGGTAGAGCCGGCTCTGGCCCCAAGTTCGTGCATAGGGGTGGTTGCGTCTCGATAGCTATAAGGGTGCGGGAGATATGGGCTTGAAAGTGGTTGAAAGTGGCTTTCTATTTCGAATGTTTTGTTCGAATTTGTTCGAATTAAATTCGAACATAAAATTCGAATATTGGTTCGATTATAGAACAATTGTAAACGTTCCATAAACGTTGAAAATAGTTCGTTTGACTAAACGTAAAAATTCTCTAATTAGTCTGGAAACGGGGGACCTAATTCTTGCATTCTGTGAAAACGGGTAAGATTAGCTATAATGTAATTATCTTAATCTTCACTATCGTTACTTTTTGCCCAGCGAAGCGGGTCCTTGCAGCTAGTATGTTATAAATGTAAGTGTATAATTAAATTTGTAAAATCAAGTTGAAGTGAATATAATTTAATAATTACTGTATTAGGAAAAATTTTTCATTAACTGATTTCTGTATTAACTATTGTATTACTATTTGATGTAAGATTTAACATAATTTTTCGTTTTTGTTTTTATTTTGCAATTTAAATTGCTAAACAATATTAACTTACACAAAGACTTTTATTTATCGAAAACTTGAGTTGTGTTCAATGTTCTTGTTGAATATTTTTAAACTAAAATTAAGTCAGAAGTGTTTTAAATCATTGAATAAATGAGCATAAAATATTTTTAGAATCTTAAAACCAGTACATTATAAAACTTAAAATATTTATTATAAATGTTTAAATCTTTATAGATTCCATTAGTAGCAGATCTTCCCGTCAGTCGAAACTTACACGACCATCTCACAACTCCTAGTTTACAGTTTTTAATAGACTCTTATACATTCGCTGATCATAGAATTACCAAAGAAGATTACAACGAAATTTTGGTTAATGGAACAGGTAGTGTTTTTCACAATAATTTCGTAAATTTAACGCTTCTTTATAATTCAATTATTAATAAATTTGATTATTTAATGATTGACGTTAAATTTGTCAACATACCGAAAGAATGTTAGGTTGGATTTTCCTTTAAGAACGAGCATACATGGAGTGTACAGATTATTTTGGTTTCGTCTATTATTGGAAAATGAATCTTCGATGAGAATTGAGATAACACAAATAAGATTCTGTCTTGAATGATTTTATCCAATTATTAAACAAAATTCGAAAATATGAAAAGAAATGTTTTAAAATATATATTGGTAAGATCTTAAATAGAACACTCAGCAAAGAAATGAAGAATGTTTTGACAGGTTCATGTATGAGAAAACTCTGAAAATACGGTAATCATTTTACTTATATTAATAGTGTTGTGACTAATCTATTTTCTGCAGGACCATTATCGACTCTAGCACAATTAGAAGCAGCTGGGTATGTTAACACCAAGTACAACAAATATCCAGATTGGCCCGACATGCATATAATGTGGCTCACTAATACAATGGGAAATGTCATATCAAATGCAAAGGATGAAGTAATTTACTTTTTTTTTCTAAATATTTATTCAATATATAGCCTTTCGAGCTAATAACCGATATTTTTTAGTTACAAAATATGTTTGATCAGTACAAGGATCATGATATCATTACTTGTTTGCCAGTACATATTCATCCACGAAGTCGAGGAAGTGTAACGTTAAAATCAAGCAATCCTTATGTGGATCCAGTAATCGACTTAAATACCCTTTCTCATCCTGATGACTTGAAAATTTTAGTCGAAGGTAGTTAATTATTTAAATAGTGTTTTAATAACAAATATAGTTTTATTTAAAAGGCATTAAACTTGAGTAAACTTGTGTGTTTATAATAATAGGTATGAAGTATTGTTTAACTTTGGCCTCTACAAAACCGATGAGAAAACTGGGAGTTTGACCTCTGCCCTATGTTATGCCAGGATGCGAAAAATACGAACGCTTTAGTGATGAACACCTTGCTTGCATGGCTTTGGCGTTTCCTTACACTTTTCATCAGTTCTCTGGAAGCTGTAAAATGGGCGATCCCAATGATCCCACTACAGTTGTAGATGCAACATTGAAGTAAGTATATTTTGCAACTGTAAAACTGTTTTCATTCAAATATCTTTGAGCCAAATCAAATTTATTAAAGAGTCAACGTCTAATTTTCGTTAATGCTAATTATGATTATTTATTGTATTTTATTATATTTTAATGTTATGAAAAATAAATAAAGTGTGCATAATTTCGTAATTTATATTATCGTAACATCTACTGCTTTTTCATTAGAAATTTCTTAATTATAATTTGAAAATGACAGCTGGAGCGGTTAAGGCGTAATCTACTTCTTTGGGAGAACCAAGATCGGACAAATCATAAAAAATTTGTATAGTTACTGGATATGTTGGCATCCTCCCTCATAGCCTAGTTTTTCCCATTCGGATAATGGCTGAACCCACAATAAATGTAGAAAGAAGAACCTCAGTGCGGAGAAGGAGAAAAGTATTTTATCAGGAAATGGAAATTAATTTCTCATTAAATAATTATATCACGAAATAACCAACTCAATATCATCAGCAAAAGAAAAAATAATAGGATGTAGTCTCTACATATATATAGGATATCACTTAAAACGAATCCAAAAAGTTATTTCCATCATAAATTAGGTTAAGTTGTGAACTGCGTCGGCACGAATACATCAGATATTATGTCGCTATGACATGCACCCATTCCGATGCTATATGAAACCAGCATAACATGAGGTGAAACTTCACAGTGATTTGAATAGTGTATAATGTTAAATTTACATCATGCCAAATCACAACGTCTTCAGCATAATTTACGAACTTGTGCGGCACTGTTTTTCTGGCATGGAATGTATAACCGTCATAATGTAGGCTCTACAATAGTGGGCAGTGTACCCGATAGATACCAAGTGCGTTTTACCACAAACGTCCGGTATGGAATTTGGTTTAAGCAATTTTAATGGTAATTTGTTTCCCAGGAGATTTTAATATTCATTTTCATACCGTAATATTGTTGTCCATCTAAAACAGGTGTCACCAAACTTTTTTACAGTGGGCCTGATAATTGAGAGAATGACGAGCGCTGGCCGCACAACCATTTCAATCAATATACACAAAAAATAAAGAAAACCAGCATATCTATTTACCAATACACGAACACGATCGCTGCAGCAAGCTCGTATTTAGAAATTTCATTGCAGATACACAAAAAAGCGCTCTGATACCCAAAGTCGCAAAAAGTCGCCGAATTTTTCACTTCACTGATTTCCATAAAAATTATATTACTGTCAAATGAAAAAATCAGATTGGATCAATTTTGGCATTTTTACTTACACTTATTTTAATTTTTTCCACATAGTTCATCCACAATCTACTTTCATATAAATAATTATATTTTAGCTCATTTGTGGCACATTGCGGCGGCGGGCCGGATAAACAGACCTCCCGGGCCGGATCTGGCCGGCGGGCCGTAGTTTGGTGACCCCTGATATAAAAGGACATTCGGACATTATGAAAAATGGACGCAGATACTTTAAATTTGATTAGAATGGGGATAATCGCTAATATTTTGATTTAATCATTCCAAAACTTAATTAAAAGAGTGTTTTCATGTAGGTAACAAAATACTGATTATTTGCCTAAATTTTAAGGTTATCAGTTTTACTTTGTCTCTCGGAGAATACTTTGTTTATCTATTATCTGTTACGTTGTTTTTGTATTCCCACATATTAGCCTATTTATTTTTCCTTCTCTTAGCCGTAGGAGCCGTGTTTACGCAGTCAGCATAGTAAAACTCTTTGCCTCATCTTTGCACAAACTTGATAACTCAATCACAATATCACGTACTGTACATTGTATCATCGCTTTCTGTTTCTGTTTAACACAACGATATTGTTCATAATTAAATAACTAAATAATTTAAATTCGATTAAAAATTTTGGAAATTTAAATTTTCGAGAACCAATTTTTGAAGAATAACATTTGAAAATTCGATAGGAACTTTCGAAATTTAATATTTCGAAAATCTGTTTTTCGGAAAATTCAAAATTTGACCAAATGAATTTTCGAAAATTATAATTTTTACTTTCATTTCTGGGTAGTTTGGTATTCGATATATATTACATCCAAAATAACGTTGTCCGACAAAATACATATCGAATCTAATGTTGCTCTATGTTGGACCCTCGATCCAATTTAGTTCTGGTTACCATCTTGAACATACCATTCAACTCTTTTAAAAAACGACAATCACGAGAGTTTTCGTGTATATCTATTATTTTACTTTACGAGAAAACAACGATTATTTGTACAGTGACACTTACGACAGCAATATAACTGTAGTCATAAGCTGTTCTCACAAACATCTAAAACTTAGATCGCAGACTGAAGTTGATCATGATTGCATAAAGAGCCGCTCCTTCTACTCTATTACCGCCATTTTGTTTTTACATACTCTCTGATGCAAAAACTTCGTATTGAAACTGATAGATCACATTTGCAGTTTGTTGTTTTACAATTACAGCTGTCTAGTAACAGAAGTCCAGTTTATACGCAGACCCAATATAAATGCCTTTTTCTTATTTATTATTCAGTGTTAGATTATTTTATTGAATTTTAACAAGATTAATTTACTGTAGTCAAGTTATATTAAACATTAATATATTTTGTGTTGTGTTAATAATTAATTTTTTGTAATTTTTCAGAGTAAAAGGCGTTCATGGGTTAAGAGTAGTCGACGCATCTATTATCCCAATGGTCGTAGGAGGTCATATAATGACAGTTACTATGATGATCGCCGACAAAGCTGCAGATATGATACTTCACCAATATCAAAAATAATTTAAATCGACAATTAGAAAGAGAAAATTTTACGTTTCTGTAATGAGTATCTGAAGCAAAATCAGTAATAATAATAAACTTCAATACAGCAATACGAATGATGCCGCATTTCTATATCGTATCATATAATTCGTATAATCTTACACAATACTTACACAATACTTACATAATACAAAATTACTCAAACACTTTAATACAAGATCTTGCAAAGTGAATGCTTCCATTTTAAATTACTGTAATTATGTTAATTATTATTTGAGAAGTGGGCAATTTATACTAATCGAACGAGTAACTGCCCGAGTTCACCTGCCATCTACATTTGAACGTGTTGTTACTACTACCTCTGGGAAGCGCCGTTAACGTAAAGTCGTTTTGTGTTCAGCGGCTCGCAAAGTCGGAATCACTTATCACTGTACATCATGAGTAAACTACAGGAGCTGAAGTATTTTGGCCACTGTGGGAAAAGTGACAACAGATATACTATACAGTAGTGAACCTAGGAAGACTTGAGTATCGGTTGGATGTGTGTTGTGCGACACGAGATGTACACATTGAGAAATTGTAATGGGCAAGCTTGGACAGTTTTCCATGTTCTAATGCACATTACAACGTTCTCAGAAATAATTAACATAATAACAAAAATATAAAATTGTAGCATTATTTTTGGAACTCTCGTATTACATTCGTTACAACTACTTTCTATTTTCAACTGTCATTTTTCTTTTATGATTTTGACTTATGTAATTAATTACTCAGTCTGAAGTGAATTTTTACAGTGACTCCCGACGTAAACTTTCAATCGACGGCCTATGCCCCTATCAATATATTTTTATGAAAATAGATGCATATTGCTAAATAATTACTAGTTGATTGATTTGCGGGCTCCAGTTTGGGAAAAATGGTCTTGCACATTATTTACTTTTTTTCAGGAAAATGGAGTAAACATAGACGAACAAATAAGGAAAGAACAAATTTTGTTAATTAATTTAACCTATTAACGCATTGTTTCTACGTTAAATTTTTAAATTCAATTCATAAATAATACATTAATTAATTAATAGGTCAAATTAATTTTAAAAATTTGTTCTAGAAGATAAACCAACACATGGCCTAATGTGACAGCTTGAATTTTTAAGACCATCGTAAAAATTAATTCATGTTTACATAAATTGAAACGTTTAAGTTTATGTAAATTACGATAATCCTAAAATTCATCGTAAAATTAAATAAAGTTCTTGTTTGGGACATGCATTTGTTTGCCTTCTGAAAGTGTTTCACGTGAGCAGTTATAAGTGAATAACTCGGAAAAAATGCTTATAAAAAATTGATAGGAATAAAACTTTAATTTTTCCGAAAGATTTTTTGATTGCCGTAAGATAAAGCCTGACTCATTTGAAGTTTCTAAGTTTTTCCCGCCCCACTGAAAAATGTTGTATGTGCCAGTCTTTACTTTTACTGTGTTAAAAAGACCATCCAGAAATATTAAATTTTTATTATCATCAATTGTTTTTATCTTATGCATATTTACCGAGTTACTGATTTGTAACACTTGAAGTGAAACACCCTGTAGAAGAACGAATAAAACCCAGTTGCCGATAAATAATAACTACAAATAAAATTTATTTGACATAGTTGCAATATTTAAACTTCAATATTAATTTCCAAATCTGTATACAATAAATGGTTGTGTTGTTAATAATATATTTTAGAACAAAATTAAATGTTGTAAAAGTATATATTAAAACATATTTTCAGATCGCCTTTTAAAAAAATCCAGCAACGAGATGCAAAACTTTCCCTGCGAAAAACACTAAGACATACACAAAATTTAAATTGTGTTTGTTCTCCTGTGTTATGAGATTTTGTTAAAAGAAGCTCTTTTATTATTAATTATTATAAGATGTCAAAAAGTTTAATTTTTAATGTAGAGATAAGTTTTATAACAAGTTTAAATGATAACAATAAGTAAAAACTTTATTAAATTCGATCCTACTCTAGATAGAACACGACTTATCTTCTATCTCTTCATCCCTTCGATCTTTAATAATTAACCATCAACATTTAATATCATCGATGCCGTTTTATACACAAGCTACCATGCCAAAGTTTATTTCTTAATCATTATTCCATAATGAGATTTTAAACAAAATACATGCTAACACACCTACACACACACATCAACGGAATTATTTTCCGGTTGTTTTACTTTTTGGCTTCAAAACGTAGAGATTTGCAATAAACTCGGAGGGTCAACCCTTTTCACTTCAGGTAGTAAGACTGTAGGGCACATTATAATACCACAGTGAGTTTTATCAAGGTGGTGCCGAATAGTGTATAGGCCTACCGTTTATCACTAGTAACGTGTTTGCAGATTTCTATTAATTTGTCAGAACATACTGGAATCGGAGTTCGAACCTCCAGGCTACATTTCTAATGAAATTGCCATCGCAATTAATTTATATAGTGCTTTTTAAAAAAGAAATAAAACTTTGATTAATTAAATTCTTATAATCTAGGATATGACGAAGAGCTAATTTTATATTGACATTTTTACTAATCGTTCTGGTTTTACTGAACATTTTATGCAATTAAATTGCCTAGAGACTTTACGAAAAAGGATGCCTCACTCGTTGCCACAGGAAGGGGGAGGGAAACAAGGAATAAGCAAATAATTCTTTCTTTCTCTTAACAAACACATAACAAGATTTACTATCATTATTCGTTTCCAATGTATAATTCATAACATACAGTATTTGCATTAATCAAAGTGGGCAGGTCAGTCCGATAGTCCAGATTACACACATGAATAGTGAAGTTCGATGTCACATTAGTATTTCGCCATCGATAACAACTTGCAACGAACTTCGATGAAACATCCATAAGCACAGCGTTTTGTAGCTGCTACTTTGTTCAAAATATTAAATTTTTGGCAATACAATATATACAGTAGTTAGGCTCCTGAGCTAAATTACCAAAATAAAACTTTTAACAAAAAAATTTAACTGTCATAATTTTTTACTTGCCGCAATTTTTTACATCTCAGAAGTTTTTGTTTGGATCTACATTTACAATTTTCCGGTTTATTTTTTAAATTTAATTATCAAGAGAAAAATTATTTATTTTTGAAAGCTGTGAAATAGGTAATACAGTATAATGTATAATTTTTACTGTTCTCTGTTACATATAAGACATGTTTCCAGCTCTTATATATAACAGGGAGAAAGTCTGGCGATCGGTCAAAAACGATCCCCCCTCAAGATTTTTACATTTTCAGCTCAAGACATCTTAATACGTCGAGAAATGCAAAAAATTCGGTTATTTTTTCTATATATATGGATGCATGTGTGTGGGAAGACACAATTTTGTTCACCTTCTTTTAAGTTTAACAACTCTTGTGTTTTTTGTCGAAAATTACTGAAATATTGCATGGAGGTTTGTTTATTAGACAGTTTGATGATGCTAAATTTTAGTTGTTTATGGTCGAAGGGGTGAGGAGATAGAGGGTCGTGTCATATTTCGAGTAGGGTCTGACTTAATGACGATTTCACTTGTTATTAGCATTTACAACTATTGATAAAATCCGTCCCTATCCTGAAAGTTAAGTTTTTTGTAATTTTATAATAATTAAAAATAGAAAAACTTTTTAATAATAAAATATCGTATCAGATGGCGCCAACAAACGTTGCCGGGAAAGTTAAGCAACTCGTTGCTGGATTTTTTTAAACTTTAATTTCGAGAATATTGTTATCTTCCGAGTGTGTGTGTGTGTGTGTGTGTGTGTGTGTGTTTGCCTGTCAGGTCCCAATGAACATGTACATTTGACATTGGGCAGAAATACATCTATGCATGAGACATTGTTGCCATTCCGTTTTGGAGATTATAAATCAAAGAAGAAAGATCATATCTCGAGTAAGGTCATACTCAATGTAAATATTATTCATTATTAGCATTTACAAATGTTTTGAACACTTGTCTTACGATAGAATATTAAAGCATATTTTCTTTTCTAATTTTCAGAAATTATAATTGAAAATTATCGAGTTTCTTTCTTCATCACCTTCGAGTGCCGTGAAACTCGTGCAGAAGCTTTTCAGTTACACTTAGTTATTTACTAATTATCAAGTTTTTAATTTTATTTGTAATTCAGGAATTTTCTGTCTAAAATATTTTATAATATTTAAATATTTTAGTTAAATTGGTCAAATTTAAGTTTAGTCAAATTAACTGTCAAAATAAGTATACTTTAAAAATATTTTAAAAATTTGGTTGTAATTAAATTTAAACTGGCTTTTATTCATATCATTTGTTCCGTTTTAAGCGGTCAATGGCACGTTATCGTGATTTTTATCCAGATAAAATGTCATTGATTTCAAATACTTATTAGGTTTATTCACTTCAGTCTACATTTAAAATAAATGAGTAAGTCTAAGTAACAAATCATTAACAAAACCCTGACGAACCGATTTACATCGTTTCAGTGAATTAGCCTACATTCGATTGCTCACAAAATATTCTTTTAACAACTTTATAAAACACTCAGAGAAAATTAATATTTTCAAACTTTCGGTAAAATGTTTTATATATTTCCAACAATTTTCTTGCTTTCCCTTTCTGTTGAAACAACTCGTGTTAAAGAATTTGATTATATCATTGGTAAGTAATTTTAATATTGCATTGAAGTGTCATATATTATTTTATAAAAATTAATATTAATGCGAAATTTTTTGAATTATTTACTATATAAATCTAAAAGTAATGAATCACATACTAAATAATTATGTTGCATTATATTATTAAGTTTAGTTGTCTTTTATTTTACAAGTCGGGTCTGGTGCAGCAGGATCAGTTTTGGCTAACAGATTATCCAAAGATCCTTGGAATAAAGTACTTCTGTTGGAAGCTGGAGAAGAACCGGTCTTAGCAAACGACATAATTTCACTTAGTTTGCAGTTGGTTAAATCCAGATTTGATTGGAATTTTACTTCGATACCAAGTAAAAAAGTTGGTTGGGCTCTGAGGAACAGGGTAGGAGTATTTTCTATTGTGTATTTTACAAAGTTTTACAATTATTTTAATTAGATTTAAATTCACATTGCATTAAAGGATTAACTTCACTTTTTTATATTTACTTGTTGGAATACAGTAAACAAATGATAAAATTTGGTACTCATTTGATTCTTCGGTATGGATTTCATTTCAGAAAAAAACTCGCGTGTATAACTTATTTTCTGTAAATTAGTTAGACAATTATTAACAAGTAAAATTTCTTATATACATTTAGGTATACGAATTTATATAGTATCTAATTTATAATAAAAATATCAAAAAATGATTTAGAAAAGTAAAACATTAAGACAATTTCATATATTCAAGCTTGCTTCAACAAATAAATTGCGTTTTAATAGATATTTCTTTCATGTTGAAATTTCCGTTGTCAAGAAGTAGAACTCACAAAATTCGTGACAGTATCGCTGGAAAGTATCTAAAAGAACATCAAAGTATTGATATTATTATTCATATTTAAAGAACTTAAATTATGTCTTACATTGCATTGTACGTATTAAAATAAAATTTAATGTATCAATAATTCGTTAAACATTCAATTTATTTTTATGTAAATTATTATTTATGGACTGCTCCTTCTCTATTCTCATGAAACAGTTCGATAAGTGGACAATTATTTATGACAAAGCCGTAATTGTATATATGTACAGTACATTGTAGTTTTTCATTTTATATACACTATATCAGTGTTTCTGAACGGGGGCGATATCGCCCCCATGTGGGCGTTTTTCCATGTTGAGGGGGCGATTAGTAACAATTTATATTTTAGGGGGACGATAACAACTTTCTGGGCGATATAGTAAAACATTATATTAAGAATAATTAGATATTTTATTCGTTATATCGTACAATAATTAAACAAATAACATTATACTAGTCACTAGTCTATTCAATGCAGTACGAATTTGGCGTTAGCCTTGACCCTCGGCATCAAAATTTTGTAGTGAAGGGGGCGATACGACGTTGAAGGGGGTGACGATTCGTTAGAGGTTGAGAAACACTGCACTATATTGTTGCGATAGTGGTTCTGTTCTTACAGTCTGTTGCAAAATTATAAACAAACTCACTTTTTTAGAAATTTTTAGATTAAAATTTAAAAAATTGATATTTTTACATACAATCTATTAGAATATGGTATTAACCGCATATTTATTAATTTTTATAAAAATCAAACGATTACAAAAAATATTATTAACAAATGTCATTTTTTGTTCTGTTGCAAAACACACTCTACTTATTTCTATTTTAAATAATTATTATTAAAATTTGGTTCAAATTTCCACCACTAGAGTTTGTTAGCGAGTATTTTAAATAATAATTAACGGTTTTTAGCAATATTAACTCCCAGAGATAAACGTAGGGTTTTTCAATTTTTGACTATTAATAACATGTCAAATTGGGTTATTTCTACAAGATTCTGATGCACAATTGATTATTCTATTATTTTTAAGTTTACTGTTTACTTTTGAATTTAATCTACAATTAGATCATCCAGCTTGGATGCGACGGAGAACGAAGCTCCAACCATCAAATATCGTGAGAGGAGATCTCATTCAATAAATCAACAACGAGTTATTCAACTTTCTCGGCAATATTTAAAATTTTGGTGGTGCCATCTGTTATTATATTTTATTAAAAACTTTTTATGTTTTTAACTATTATAAAACTTCAAAACGATCAATTTTGAGGGTAAGAATGAGTTTTATAAAAAAAATTATAAATACTAATAACGAGTAAAATCGTCATTAAGTCCGATCCTACTGCAGATACACACGGCCCACATTATCTTCCTACCCCCTCGACTTTTAGCCACCAAAATTTAATAGCATTAATCCCTATTATAATTAATCCTCTCTGAAAAATTGCACAAATTTTCGACAAAAAGCACATGAATTATTTAGCTTCAGAGTAAGCAAAATAGTGTTCTCACACATACATACAGAAATTATCCCCGAATAATTTTGCATTCCTCGATATTTCAAGCTGTCCAAAAGTGTAAAAATCTGGGGAGCGCCATTTTTTGCCAAATTGTCATGACAGCCGGGAAAGTAAGAATGGATATTTTTATTTATCAATTTATTAGAAAAAAGTGACTTTAACATACAATGGATATAATTATAAATTGTAAGTTATAATAAGATTTTTTTACTACAAATAAAATTTTAAATGAGATATACGAATTGAATGCGTAAATTTTATTACTCAATACGAGATGAGGTACGATTGTATGTATGAAACGTTTTCGTGCATTTCGTTATTATAGTTTTATATATTCAACGTTTAAGTTGAATATATAAAACTATAACGAACTATATTTTAAATTGACTTGCTTTAAACAAGTCAATTTAAAATGTGAATTCCTTTATATATTCTGAATTTCTTATGAAGGGTTCGAAAAAAAACGTAAACACTTTTTTCTTCTTATATTTACAATAAAGATATATTTTATGAATATTTAGATAATACAATAGAAATGAGTAAGAATATCTATAAATAAGTTCAAGTCCGATTAAATGATATGGAAATAACCATCGTGATCACTTCATTGATGGCGTCATCTCAATTTCAACGCAATGATCTAGAACACTGTTTCGTAACCTTCTTGAATTAGAGACACAATTTGAATTTAATTAGATTCCTGCAACACATGATAATTTTTAAAATAAAAATGTTCAAAATTCTTTTCTAATTAAAAACTTGTTCATTTTATTACATGCGTTAAAAAAATAAACGAGAAATTATTTATTGTGACATCATCAAAATGCCAGGCTGTAATTTTTAATCATATTTCTCAATTTATTTTATTTAAAATATATTTTTTCTCATCTCAAAATTATATTGTCTTGCCCATGTATATCATACGTTTTCTGATAACAACAGACTTGTGACAGTCATCTATGTAACTCTATTCAGAGAAACAATTGTGAATTGAATTCACGAGAATTTTGATCTAAATAGGAAGTTTTAGTACATAATTATCGAAAAAATATTTTTTTCATACACACAGTAATTTAAAGGAAAATAAATTTAATTATAATTTTTCAATTGCGTTCATTTTTCATTTGCTTACATCATTTTGCTATTTTTTTTTGCATAATTTTTATTATATAATTATAAAATATGCTCTTTTCACATTTTATTGTTTAACCTTCTTTAATAATTATAATAATTTATTTCATATTATTTTTCATGTAGATATAAGTTTTATTCCAATATTAAAAAAGAAAAGTCGATAAATTTACTTTTAAATTCCTGAAGAATGTGAAAGATTCGATGACCCAATTAGGTTATAAAATAATTGTGTAGGGTTTTATGTCACTATAAATACATATAAATAAATAACTTACAAAGTAGCATTAATTAACTATTGCATTGAAATAAGCCAAATTTAATAGTTAAGGAAATAAATGCACATTTTTCAAATGTTTATTTTATCGTGTTTTGTGACGAGATAAATTTATATTGATATATCGCTGTTTTGCTTTTATAATTGCACCAGTAAAAACAAAAATCTGAAATTTTACAAGGAAAGCATTTAAAATTCTAAATGATTAAAAGTGCAATTCGAATTGATAAAACTCGTCTGATTTTTTATAAGAAGCCAATGGAAGTAGAAATATGCTATTTTACACATATTATTTTTAAAGTATTCTACATAACGAGTTTATTTATGAAAATAAAAACAGCAAAATCAGTTTTACTTTTTCGCATATGTAAGGGGTATAAAGGAGAAAAACACAGTATGGCAATTAGTCAAAAAATAATCCCCGAGGATTTTACATTTTTGGACTCAGTGGATCTTAAAACGTCGAGAAATGCAAAATGCAAAATACATTTTATTTTTTACGAGGTGACTTTCTCGACTATTCAGTCAAAATTCCCGACATAAGAGAGATCGAAACGTTCCCTCAAACCCCTAGTAGCTTCACTCCTGTAACTCCTAGCAAAACACTACACAGAAAGTTATCATTAAACACAATTATGTAGCAATTGACGAACTGTATTAATTGTTTGTCATTTCATAGATGTGTTCGGATCGAAATATCAGCAATTTTTATATTTAATTACTGTATTGTTATTTACACAATTTTTTCCAATCAAATTCTCGTTGGTTATTATGATTTATAGATATATATTATAGTTAAGATAGCAATTTTCTACGACAAACTTAATTTACATATTTGGTGACTTTCTCTGCAATTAAAATACTTTTTAGGTACGAATAAATTTTCAACTAAATACTGGTTGTTTGCCAATTATTTCGAATTAATTAAATTAAAAAAACATAATTTTTTGAGATTTTTTTATAATTATTAGATTCGCTCCAAAAATCAGAATGTTAATCGTAGACCACTTTTTATAAATTAATCGTTCTCGTCTATTAATAAATTTATTAATAGTATTTTTAAATTAAAAGAATTTCTTTAAAATTTTTATCCTAAATAGAATGAATATAAATCAAAATAGTTTTCTCTTGAATAAAACGTTTATTTCTGTTTCCCTTTAAATTAGGAGTGTCCAACCCGCGGCTTAAGGCAAGTTCCAATGCGGCCCAATAAACGTGTAAACAAAACTGACAAATGTTTTAATTTTTTTTATTATTTATTTATTTCAACGGCATAAACTCAAAAAAGAAGTTTCACAAAGACGTAAATCTTTGTTTATATCTTATTTTTCAGTGGAAAGGAAATATTGATATTTTTAAATACTTGGAGATGTGTGAATGAGGAAGGATTACTAAATAAAGCTGGAGTTGTGACTCAAAGGATTATAGACCCAAATTTGGAAAAAGAAGAAAAAGGACGAAAGATAAAAAGTAGTGAGAAAGGTTAAATAGATTTATTTTGTAAATATTGATCCTTAATTTTCCAACCTTTCTCACTTCTTTATCTTTTGTTCTTTCTCTCCTTTCCCAGTAATTGGGTCTATAATCCTTTGAGTCATAACTCCAGCTTTATTTACTATTTCTTTCAGCGTTGCAAGATTTGGCTACACTGCGCCAAATGTGGCTACTATTTTTTAATTTGACGTAAAAAATATCATTTGGCGCTTTGGCTACTTTTTGGACTACATATTATTTATAAATACAGTATATTAGTTGAATAAAAATGCACTTTAAAATGGTGTTTCGTCTCTTTTTATTAATTAGAGACCAAATAGAACAAATATTTGTGTTTTTTGAAATAAATTTTCGTTTGTCTCTTTTATAATATTTTTATAATAAATTTATCTATTTCTAAGTAAAAATTGAAAGTGTCTGAAGAAGTAATTTTTTAAAATATCCTTTTTCGTGATAAAGATTTAATACTTATATTTATAATATAGACATGTTAATCCTTAAATATACTTGTATATTGGGCCACAAATATATATTATATATACTTTTGGCCCAAAACTCTTTGACTTCTTCCAATGCGGCCCAGAGAAACAAAAAGGTTGGACACCCCTGCTTTAAATCTTTTTCTTTTTTAACTTTTATATTTTCTGTATAGAAGAATCAAACTATATATGAGCGGTTCACAGGACAAAGGGATCAACTTCACATTGAATTTTTTAAATTTTGATGCCAAAGCACTCGATTGATCCACAACTTTTTATCTTCAAAGTAAATTTCCTTAATTTTAACACCACTAAATAACGAAACTTTTTGCCCGTGGAATAATAAATAATTTATGTCAGAATCCAATGTGATTAACTCCAAACTCTTAAGTAAAACATCGTAATAATGTAATAATGCAATTCAAAAGCTTATACATAATTATTAAAGTAATTTTTAATGCAACAAAATTTAATACAACATTCTTTTTTAAAAGGAATTAATTTTTTTTTCAAATGTACAGTATATTCTTTTCTCAATTTCTGAACTTTTCATTTGATAATGTTAATCGATTTGGCAAATGAGAGACTCATATACGAATACTTTTAAATTTAAATATAGAAAAATGTTATTAACACTAAATGTGTGTTTATATTTAAAATATTTTTAGCAATTTATAGCAACAGCTGGTAAAGTTTTAGGAGGAACGGCAATGTTAAACGCAGGTGTTTACATTCGAGGGAATAAATACGATTATGACAATTGGGCTCTACATGGTGCAGTCGGATGGGACTGGAGAAATGTATTTCCTTATTTTTTGAAAATGGAAGATAACCGAGACGAATCGTTCGTACGTAATGGTGAGTGTTATCCTCAATTAGAAGCATGTTTTAAATGTTTAATTTTTTCAATAATATACATAAATACAGTTTATCAAGCAAGGTCGAAAAATAATGAAAAATCGAAATATATAATAATATTTTCATAATATAAGCCAAACGCCGGATTATTTTCGGGCTATAAATTCTTTCGGAAATGGAGATATGGGTAACGTAATGCGGGTGTTGTGGATTTTAATTCCGTTCCGGGCCAATTTCTTTCTTCAGAGAATTCTAAATTAAATTAATTCATTGTAAGTATTAAAGTTAGCACTAGATGGCAGCATAACTTCCAACTTTTAGCTTCTAGTCAAATTACGTTACTTCTAATTAGTTAATTAGTCTATTTATAGACCCTTCGTTCGTCTCGCTTATATTGTAAATATATATTTTGGGTTTGTGTTGTTATATTAATACAGTATTTTCGTAATTATCTTAATCATCAATTTTCAGAAATTCATAATATTTGATCTGAATCATTGTGTCGAATAATTTAAATACATTGCTTGTACTGTACGTCATCGATGAGGTTTATTATACAGATTGTCCCAAAAGTTAAGATGAGGTTTTTTTGAAATCTCATCTTAACTTTTGGGACAAACTGTATAATACAAACTGTATAACTTTTGGGTTCATGGAATGAAATACGAGAAACACATGGCAATACATGAAAGACAAACTCACTATCTCGAGTTGAGAGACTTGGTATTCATAGTATCATGATTACACGATGCGGTGACTGTTCAAAGCGCAATGGGATTTCTGGCTACCAAACTTTGATTCTGTGACTCCATGTGAACATTGTGATGTATTTCACGAACAACCACCACAGGAATGTAACAATCGTGATTCGAGTAGATTGGTGAAAGCAGTGAGGCTTCAAGTGGGTATGCATGATGTGGACCGCACACAGGCGTTATCGTCAAGAATACGCCAAAAGACATTTCTAATTATTTTGATTTACAGAATGACAAAAATCGAACGAAGCATTATGTTGTAAAAATAAAATTACGAGCTCCAATGGTCCACGTTAACTTTTATACAATGAAACCTCGGTTTTCGAACTTAATTCGTTCCCAAAAGTTGTTCGAAAACCTATTTGTTCTAAAACCAAAACAAATTTTTCCGTAAAAAATACAGTCGACCCCCCTATAACGTGCGTTCCTATAACGGAAATTCCTATAACGTAGCGAAAAAATTGTAGCAACATTCGTATAAAGGAGCTCCTAAAACGTCATCGCCGACTCGTTTCGAGACAAGATTGATAGAATCAGGACCAATAGTGGATGAGCAGCCGAACTACTTTCCTCCGCCCTGCGCCACGCTACGGAGCGGCTAAATTGAGTTTGCTATCGTCTGTTTAGTATTATATATAAATTATATATAAATTAGGTACTGTACATATAATTATATATAAATTAGGTACTGTATATATAATTATATATTAACTTAATTTATTGTAACTTTATTATAATTATATATATGCTTTCTGCCGCCTGGCAACACGCTACGGAGATTTTAGGCTAGTAAGTTGAGTTTATTATCGTCTGTACAGTATGTAAATTAGGTACCGTAAGTCTAATACAGCACTAATTTTATACATTTCTTGTGAAAGAAACATTTCTTATTCAACGGCCATAAAAATTATTTATATTAATGATGTCTCCAAAGATCAAGTTATTTTTCTGAGAAAAATTCGTTATCAGAAATCGCGGCCGCCGTTTCGTGCGCTGTTCCGCGACGAAAACAAGCTTTAGCAACGGCGTACTCGAACGGTGCACACTCGGTAAGTAATCCTACAATTTTTTGAATCGGTTTAGTCAATTTTTTGAATCGGTTTGAATATTAGTCTAGAATCGGTTAATTTTATAGAAGAAAACCTTTCAAACAGCCTTAGTCCGTAAACTTCACACCTATCGGGCTGCGATTGGCTCACGTATTTAATCATTCCTACAACGTAAAATTCGATTAACGTGGAACGTATCTAAGCGTTATAGGGGGTCTACTGTAATGTAAAATGGACAATGGCGTAGCGAACATAACTGCCGCCCGGGGCACGACACTATATTAGCGCCCCTCCCCTCCAGAAACAAATCTTGTTTGTCTTGGTAACCATTTGGTGCCCCTCTGCGAGTGGCGCCTAGGGCACGTGCCCTACTTTCTCCACGCTAGCTATGCTTCTGAAAATGGATTAATCTGTTCCCGACCCAAAACAAAAGTTTTTATTTTTTTTTTTAGCTGTATTTCATCCATAAAAATATCTATAAAGGCAATATAATATTTTATATAATATTACTTTATCTATATTTATACTATATATATAGTAGCAGAAAAGCGTGGCGTTTTCCGGGCTTTTTAAATTAAAAATTGAAAAAGAATTTTTTAAATTGTATACAATAGATGAAGAAGATTTTTAAAATGTGTTAGATTGGTCACTCGATGTGATAAACCCTTGCGTAAGATAACCTTTGTAGTTATATAAATCAAACATTATGATATAACAAATATCAAAACGAAAACTATATTAGGGAGTTGACCGTCGATGGCGACCCAGCCGAGTAGCTTGTTCGGAAGCCGAGTTATCGTACTGCAACCAGAGCAAATATGGCATAAAAAATTTTGTTCGAAAATCGAGGTTTGACTATTTTATAATAGTTGTGAGAATTTAAAGTGACTTTGGTCCTCTGGCTAAGAATAAATGCATTTGTACGAAGTAGTAGATAACAACGTTGCCAGACGATGTACTGTACAAGTTAATGTAGTCAATACCAGAGTCGATACTGGTCTCTGAGCTACCAATAGCTCTAATGAAATGGAAGTGACGTAATAAATATTTCTGCCACTTCGAGCGCTCCAATCGCTTTGCGGAGTAAGTTTGTTTTGAGCATAGGGAGAATTAGCTGTAAACATTTGAAATTCTTTTAAGGTATATGAAATTTTCTCGAGTTTAACTCAGATATTGCTTTGGTCTTTTTTAAAACACTGCTTATAAATACTATTTTAATTCGGTTTTGAACATTATTTATTCTCAAATGTCGTTAATATTTACATTTCTATTAACTGTCACTTTCTCGATTTTAGACTTTAAATTGATTAGACTGTTCGCTTTTTGCTACAATTTGTGTTCATTTTTAAATATTTTTTGGAGTTTTCGTTAAGGGTAAAAAAACGTAGTCAAAAAACTTATAGTTATAAAGTTTTTTTTTTTTTATTTAGTTCTTGGATTCCAAATATGGGCTGTTAAAAGAAAAAGAAGAAATTAGACTTCAGGATAAGTTATAAAAGTGGAAATTCCAGCTATTTAGACAACATATTCACATATTTATAGGCACATAATAACTGAGAGGTAATTAGAGGATGATGAGTTAGAGGTAGACAAATAAAATAAGGAAATGTAGGATGGCAAGAGTTCAGACAGTATTATTAAATATTGACAGTGATAGTGATTAGTGATGATATGGGAGTCTACAAGAAGGACACGATACTGATGTTTTAGACCTATATAAACAAAGGACAAGTTTACTTTTAACGAATATTTAACTTATATGTTCTTAATAAATATTTATTTTATTGATAACATAATGCTAAATTACTTTCATCTTTTTCTATTTTTTAAAATATAATTAAATCTTTATAATTAACTTTCAAGCAATTTTTCACGAAACAAAGTCAATTTTCTGGTTTAATCAAATTAGAAATTTATTGTTACATGCATTAAAGTATTAAACATGGTTTTACTATTGATAAATCAAACTCAAAATGCGAATATTACGAAAATTTTACAATATGCAATAAATCGTTTTATATAAACCTTCAGGTTATCACGGAGTTGGTGGAGAATTAATCGTTCAGACTCCAGAATTTCTTTCTCCTGCAGTCAAAGCATACATAGAAGCTGCTGAAAGTATTGGTTATCCTCTCGGAGATTATAACGGGAAAAGTCAAACGGGTATAGCATCTAATAAACTTTGTGAATTCTATAAAATTGACAATTCATCTCCAAATTAACAACAAATTATTTTTTCCAGTGTTTATGCCCAATCAGGGAACAGTTAATAAAGGAAGACGATGGACTTCGTTACGAGCTTTTATTGATCCAATCATTGGAAGGAGAAACTTTCGTTTAATTACATCAGCTTTCGTAACCAAGGTAAGTTTAAAAACAGTCTGGCCATAGAGTTTAATATTTAAAAAATAATAAAGAACTTGGTGTGTATTGCAGATTTTAATTAATGAGCATAATCAAGCATATGGCGTTTTGTTCGACCACAAAGGTCGTCAGTTAACAGCATTAGCGAAGAAAGAAGTGATTATAAGTGCAGGAACATTCAATTCTCCCAAACTTCTAATGCTCTCAGGGATTGGTCCAAAAGAAGAGCTGCAAAAATTACACGCAAGTCGTATTATACGTTATAAATATAAGTATACAATTAAGTTTATAAAATTAAATTGAAAAGAATATGAATAATTTGTTAATTACTAGAAAAAATTTTTAATTTACTGGTTTCTGTATTGACTGTATTACTATTTGATGCAAGATTTAAGATAATTTCTCGTTTTTTTATTTTGCAATTTAAATTGCTAAACAATATTAACTTACACAAAGACTTATTTATCGAAAACTTGAGTTGTATTCATTTGTTTTTTGTTAAATATTTTTAAACTAAAATTAAATCAGGTGTGTTTTAGATCAGCGCTGTCCAACTTATCATAGCCCGCGGGCCATATTTTCTTCACCAAACATTTCGGGGGCCAAGAAGGTTGCTGCTGTATTCAGCCAGGTTAAGTGAAGTTACGCAAACTAAATAGTACCTACTTTAAATTCAAATTAGATTTAAATTTTCACATAGTAAAATAATTTTAATATTAATAATAATAATTTAGTAACATAAATTTATTCATAGTAAAATGTACTCGGGGGCCGTAAAAATTATTTGGCGGGCCGTATACGGCCCGCGGGCCGCCAGTTGGACAGCCCTGTTTTAGATCATTGAATACATACACAAAAAATATTTAGAATCTTAAAACTTATCCATTATAAAATTTAAAATCTTCATAGGTTCCATTAGTAGCGGATCTTCCCGTTGGCCAAAACTTACACGACCATGCCACAACTCTTAGTTTACAGTTTCTAATAGACTCTTACACATTCGCTGATCATAGAATTACCAAAGAAGATTACAACGAAATTTTGGTTAATGGAACAGGTATTTTTTTTCATAACAATTGCATAAAATTAATGCTTCTTTATTATTCAGTTATTAATAAATTTGATTATTTAACGTGTGACGTCAAATTTGTCAACATACCGAAAGAATGTTAGGTTGAATTTTCCTTAATTAAAATAGCATACATGCAGTGTACAGGTTATTTTGGTTTCGTCTATTATTGGAAAAGGAATCTGCAATAGGAATTGAGATAACACCATAAGATTCTGTCTTGAATAATTTTATCCGAGTTAACAAAATTTCGAAAATATGAAAAGAAATATTTTAAAATATATATTGGTAAGATCTTAAATAGAACTCTCTGCAAAGAAATGAATAACGTTTTGACAGGTTCATGTATGAGCAAACTCTGAAAATACTGTAATTATTTTACTTATATTAATAGTGTTGTGACTCATCTATTTTCTACAGGACCATTATCGACACTTGCAGAATTAGAAGTTGCTGGATTCGTTAACACAAAGTACAACAAATATCTAGATTGGCCCGACATGCATATAGTATGGCTTACTAATATAATAGAAAATGTCTTATCAAATGCAAATGATGAAGTAATTTTATTCTTTCTTTCTCTAAATATTTATTCAAGATATAACCTTTTGATCTAATAACTGATATTTTTAGTTACAAAATATGTTTGATCAGTACAAGGACCATGATATCATCACTTGTTTTCCAATTGTTATTCATCCACGAAGTCGAGGAAGTGTAACGTTAAAATCAAACAATCCTTACGTTGATCCAGTAATCGACTTAAATACCCTTTCTCATCCTGATGACGTGAAAATTTTAGTCGAAGGTAGCTAATTATTTAAATATTGTAATAACAAATTAATATCTTTTAAAAGAGACTATAAGTTAAGTAAATTAATATGTTTATAATAATAGGTATGAAGTATTGTTTAACTTTGGCCGCTACAAAACCGATGAGAAAATTAGGAGTTAAACCTCTGCCCTACGATATGCCAGGATGTGAAAAATATGAACGTTTTAGTGATGAACACCTTGCTTGCATGGCTTTGGCGTTTCCTGTCTCTGTCCATCACTTTTCTGGAACCTGTAAAATGGGCGATCCCAATGATCCCACTACAGTTGTGGATGCAACTTTGAAGTAAGTGTATTTTACAATTATGAAACTTTTCATTTACATAAGATATCTCCAAGCCAAATCAAATTTATTTACAGACTTGTTTTTAACCTTTTTGTCCTTACTTTTTACATCTCTGTGCATACTGTGTCCATTTGGACGTTGTTTATTAATAGGACTTATTATACTAGTGAAGTTTCTGATTAGTTAAGAGACGAAATCTTAATCAAAGGTCAAAACAAAATGTCTTTATTTTCACCTGTATACTTTTTGTGTGTTTCGGACGTGAAGATTCCTCTTCAGCAGGTTCTATAATAATTATATAAAAACTTTTTAAAAACATTTATTTTTACTCGAAAGTACTGTTTAAGATAAAATTGCGTTTACTTTATTGTTTAATAGTAAAACAACATTAATACAGACATAAATATCCAAATGACAGAGCGTAACATACCGTTCTGTAAATAACGCCTGTATTAAGTGATGTAGTGATATTGGACCTATCCCAACTGCGCTCTTGTTGGTTCATATCAAATCTCTTTACAGGCAGTCATAAAAGTAATAAACAAGGGTAGACAAAGAGCCATAAAAAAGAGGAGAAAAGAGGTGGAAAAATGAGAGAGAGAGAGAAAGAAAGAAAGAGGAAGAGTGGGAGAAGGAGAGTCAGAGTAGAGGTGGAACGACGGTTGAGTTAGTGAAGAGAAGTGGTGGAGTTTGTAAATGGGCAAGGAAGGATAAGAAGAGTCTCGTTACTGCATAGGATTGAGTTTCTACCGTAAATGATCAAGTGTGATTAAACTGTTTTTGTTTTGTTAAGATATTTGACTATTTCAATACTGTGAGCCACCGGGAGGGACGGGAAGTCCTCTCCTTCCGGCCACTGGTCGGTGACCTACTTTCTTGTCAGAGATGGTAGTAACGTTCGGTTACGCGTTACGCGAGTGGAGGAGAGTAGGACGGGTCGACGATAAGACGTTGGCAAAGTCGAGTAACGACACCATTTAAAACAAAACAACGGTTTATTTTACTAGCTAAATAAAATTTTACAAAAACTCTGCGGAGAGAGAGAGTTTACAATAACAAGCGTTCATACCTCTTTGCATATACTAGTGGGATATTTCCCCGTAATGTCGTCCTTTATGGATTCTGAGCGGTGACACAAGTATAGGTCGGCGACGAATGTGTAGGTCAGCGATGGGAGTGTAGGGCTGCAATGGAGAAGGCGATGTTTGACTTAGACGTTCGGCGAATCCCTCGATGAGGGGAAGGTGTCGGGCTTTTATACCTTTTTCGGTGGGAAAATTCGTCAGGTGACCATTTGTTTTAGCAGGTGTGAGGTTAAAGTTGGTGTTAAAATGACAACAATATGACGAATTTCGTCGATAATTGTAAACTATTCACGGATTGATCGTGAGAATGTTTATTGTTTAACAGAATGAGTTATAATTTTCTCATGCACCTCAAATTTCGTTTCTGCAGGTGCAACTTCTAGTTAAAGGAATTTATTAAAAATTTAAAGGATTAAATGCTTTTATTACATTATATAAACCTCGAATTTCACAATACGGTACGACCAACCGGCAGGAGGGAATCCGTGAATGCAGGCTGGATTCTCTACAAATGATAACATATTTTGTAATAAACTTAAATTATTTAAAATGTTAAAATTGTCTCTGTACGCACTTCGCTTGGTTCGGCGTTTTCCATATTTTTATTTCGTTTTTGTATCATCTTTTCCACTGTTACTTCTGCTTTAAGTACTTTTCAGCCCATTACGCCATCTATAAATGATACCATTCTATGATTGATAAACTTTTTTTAAAATTATTATTAATTCTATTCCCTTGTTTTTTATATAAATATGTTCAAATAATTATTTTTAAAATCCATTTTTTTCTATTTTCTTTATTCTTGTTGTATTTAAATTATTTCACATCCTTCTTAGCTGTCATGCTCGGCTACTGCTGAATTTGCATAATTTCCTTTAATTGCTCTAATATGTTTCTTTATACGTATTTTGAGTTTTTATTTAATTTGGGAGAACCAAGATTGGATTCGGGCCGTTGACAAATTCTAGAGAATTTACGTTGGAGATTATTCCCGGATATCTTGGCCCCTTCTCTCACAGCCTAGTTTTTCCTATTCGGATCACAACGGATACAGTAAGAAGACTCGCATAAGGAGACGGACAGACGTTCGTCTCTTTGATTCGAGTGAAACTTGGTGAGCATATAGCCCTAAACACGACTATTTCATTGTCCAAATAATAGGATCTACTTTGTTGTTGAAAAATGGGCTTCTTAATAAGTCTTTGGAAGATTATCTTCTTGTAACTGAGATAGTCGAGTGGATAAGACGCTAGGCGTAGGAAATGTGCCATGTAGGTTCGCGGCTTTGCACTTTTAGTATTTTTTTTACATGTAACAAATTATTTTATTATTTCACTATTATTATTACTATTATTATTTCTAACGTTTAAAGCTTATAATAAGAAATTAAACAATGTGACGCCATTTCCTGTTTAGCGAAACAAAGTCTCTGTAGATTTAACTTTTGTATGATATTAAATCAAATTTTTATTTCTTCGTATTTATTTTCAGATATTTTTGCTTTTGATTACGTACTATGACGACACAAGCGAATAAGCTGCAGTAGTTACTGCGAATGGACAAAAAAAAGACAAGTCTGATATGAAAATAGGGTAGCATAGTCGCAGCGTTTTTTTAATTGTTAATGTTGGAGGCAAATTCCTCATGCGCTCGTGTCTGTTACACTTTAAATATAACAATATAACCCTATCTGAATATTAATACGAAGTAAAAATTTTATTTAATGACATACAACAGTCAAATGTAGAGATTTCGTTTTTGCTAAATAGGCAATGACATCACGTTTTTAAATCTCATTTTAAGCTTTAAACATGAAGAATAACAATAGTAATAATAAGCTAATTTTGTTACACATAAAAAAAAACTAAAATTGCGAAGGCTCAAACCTACATCGATTGGTACTACTTATAATAATAAACCACACACACCTGATTTGTATTTGCCGAGTTATTTTCTTTATTCAAACGTTTTCGGCCAATTTGTATAGGCCATCTTCAGGCTTTAACGTTGTTCGTTCCAATGGAACCAATAGTTTGAAATTCATTTGAATTTGAACTTTTAACAACTTATGTGTATAAATAAATAGTTAAGAATAATATCAAAAACTTGTTGCAACTTAACAATAACATGAAAAACGTAAATTAAAATAAATATATGATAAAATGTAATCTAAAATCGCGTTTCAATTTAACAATGAAAGAACAAAAACAAAATACAAAACAAAAATTATAACAACTTTAACTGAGTTTGAACTACTAAATCCTAAAAACTCCAGATCATAAAATGTTTATGGATTATTAAAACCCGTAGTTTTTCAATTTTTTATATTTCCAAGCCGTTGGTAATGCTTTCGCATCTTTTGCATTTAGGCATCTGTCCCTCATCTTACTTTTGTAAATCTCTATTTTCTCTATTTCCATTGCGATGGAAGGTGAATGCCCTGTCCTATCAATCTTGGCTTCATCCCATTTGACTACTGATCCGTCTGACTGAGCCTTACTTGCTAATTTTTGTTTCGTTTTTTGTTTTTGTTTTTTCATTGTTAAATTGAAACGCGATTTTAGATTACATTTTATCATATATTTATTTTAATTTACGTTTTTCGTGTTATTGTTAAGTTGCAACAAGTTTTTGATATTATTCTTAACTATTTATTTATACACATAAGTTGTTAAAAGTTCAAATTCAAATGAATTTCGAACTATTGGTTCCATTGAACGAACCAACGTTAAAGCCTGAAGATGGCCTATACAAATTGGCCGAAAACGTTTGAATAAAGAAAATAACTCGGCAAATACAAACCAGGTGTGTTTGGTTTATTATTATAAATAGCTAGTATTACTGAGAAGGTAGATAGATAGATTGGTACTACGCCTAGCGTCGTATACACTCGGCATTTCAATTATGAGAATTGAACCTTCCAAAGAGTTATGAGCTAAATATTCAATGTTCAGAGACCCGTTCCTCGGAAACGCTTCAGAAGTGGGTCCTATTATTTGGATAAGGATCTGTTTGTGTTTAGGCTCACGTGCTCGCCAAGTTTCGTTCGAATCGGAGAGGCGACTGGCCGTCTCCATGTTAGTGCGGAGCAGATAAAAAGAATTTTAACAAAAAATGGAAATTAATTTTTTATTAAATAGTTATATCACGAAATAACCAACTCAATGTCATCAGCAAAACGAAATATATATGTATATATATTAGAGTGGTCCATGCTTAAATAGCAAAAAAAAAAATTTCAAGTGGAAGTCACGCCATCCCCTTGTTTTGTTACACCTACCATTCCTATTATGTGTTCAAAATTTCAACCCCTTATCTTTTATAAAAGGGGGTGCTCATCAACTTTGAAATATCTGAATTTTATGAAAAAATCCTTAAAAAGAACTATATTAAGTAAAAAACGTAAACTATGTATCAAAAGTAAATTTTTTTATTCAAATATAGTATTTAAACACACACAAAATGTTATAAACAAAGCAATACTTAAAATAATATTAATTACTGTTCTTTTTTTCTCAACCTAAAACTAAGTTCATTAGCACTTTTTTTGATGTTTCGGTAGAAACAATCTTTCTGTTCTGTTCAACGACGTAGAGTAAAAATTGTTTTTCTCTAGTGAGTATTGTATTGTAATCTTCAAATAGTTTTCCACCACTCTCCGCAGTGTCGTTAACTACACGCAAATTTCTTATGCAACTTTTGCTTTGAAGGTAATCAACATTGTCACCCCAAGTCTCGCGAGATAATTGCAAGAAAAAGTCCTTGATGGTAAAGCAACCACAAAATAATCATCTTGCTTATCTTCTAAAGTGCTATCGGCACTAGAAGTGCTACTGAAGCTGAAATCAAGTTCTAGTTCTTGACTTGACACTACCGAAGTTGAAGCATTACTTTTAGCGGCCTTTTCTCTTAATTCTTCAGCTCTTTGTTTTCGTTTTAAAGAACGTTCTTTGGTATTTCCCAGCCTCTTGTCAATTGATGTCTTACGCTCACCTCTTTGATCAATGAGAAACTCTCTGTCTTTTGCAATTTTGATTGAGTTCATGGTCTGTAAATGGGCAATATAAAAAAGTTTGTCTAGCTTTTCTGTAAACAAATGCTCTCTAGTTTTTTGCACTTTCAAATCTCTTGTTTTATTTTTCTTTAAAAGCAGCCATTTCTTATGAATTTTTATAAGTTTTTCAACGCAGTGATGTGGTTGTCTGGTCGGAATACCAGATTTGCTCCACACCTCTATGACTTATTGAATGAGCATATGCGCAGAATCTTTCACATTTTTTGATTCATTTAATGTGTGGTGATAACAAAATAGAACTTGCCGAAGATTAATGAACCTAATCATGGTAACGCGACAGTACATTGTATCATAGCTTTCTGTTTAGTTTTACCACAAACTTTAGTGTGGTGAAACGAACTATTTCAAACATTTAAATTCGAATAATAACTTTCGAAATTTAAATGTTCGAGAATCGACTTTGTATCAATAACATTCGAAAATTCGGTATATATTTGTTCATACAAAATTCGAAAAAATTTGTTTTTCGAGAAATTCAAAGTTCGGTCAAATGATTTTCGAAAATTAAAATTTTTACTTTCATTTCTCGGTAGTTTGGTATTCGATATATATTCTGTGAGATAAGCAGTGGGTCACTGGTTAATCCCCAAATGACCACTTACTCTGCAACAGGTTGATAAAACCCGATCTCGGGGTCTGTTGAATGGCTAGGAGGGCAAATCGAGTGGGGAATGCGTCGGTAAGTCGGCAGGCGTCCTTCAGAGAAAGGAGACAGGTTTAAAACTAAACAAGCATTTATTATATAACTAAGCAATACAAAAGGTTACAATAGGTTGGCTACATCTAAGAATAAATGCGGATAACATAAGTACGCTTATGGCGATTATACCATCTATCCTTTCTCTAAAGGGTTTACTCTAACGACTATTCCTATCTGCGTAGAGAGAGAGTTCGCTGGTTCAAAATAATTACTTCCAAGTACTATATGTGGCGACAACAATTCTTTATGTCAGAGTTGGGCTTGGCCGATGTCTTCTACCGATGTGGGAGACGTGAAATCACTATGACCCAATATAACCTCCGTGAGCGAACTCCCGAGCTTCCAGTGGTCTCCCTTTTTTATATCCTTGTCGCGAGAGAGCTGACACGTCATCGACTGTCGTTGACGATGACGGTGATGACTTCACAATTCCATCCGAAATAATATTGTCCAACAAATTATATATCGAATCTAATGTGGTTCTATGTTGGATCACTGGTCCAATTTAGTTCTGGTTACCTTCTCGAACACATCTTCCAACCCTTTTAAAACGACAATCATGAGAGTTTTCGTGTATATCTATTATTTTACTTTATGAGAAAACAACGATTATTTGTAAAGTGACAATTACGACAGCAATATATCTGTAGTCATAAGTTGTTCTCACAAACATCTAAAACTTAGATCGCAGACTGAAGTTGATCATGATCGCATAAAGAGCCGCCCTTTCTACTCTATTAATCTATTACCGCCATTTTGCTTTTACATACTCTCTGATGCAAAAACTTTGTATGAAAATGAGAAAGCTCACACGCAATTCGATGTTTTTTGCAATTACAGCGGTTCATCTGACGCGCAGATCCAATATATGGGTCTTTGTTTCATATTCAGAGTTAGATTACTTTATTAAATTTGAACAAATGAAAATTATATTAAATATTAATAAATATGTTTTGTATTGTGTTAATAATTAATTTTCTGTAATTTTACAGAGTAAAAGGAGTTCATGGGTTAAGAGTGGTCGACGCATCTATCATTCCCATACTCATAGGAGGTCACACAATGACAGTTACTATGATGATCGCCGACAAAGCTGCAGATATGATACTTCACCAATATCAAAAATAATTTAAATCGACAATTAGAAAGAGAAAATTTTACGTTTCTGTAATGAGTATCTGAAGCAAAATCAGTAATAATAATAAACTTCAATACAGCAATACGAATGATGCCGCATTTCTATATCGTATCATATAATTCGTATAATCTTACACAATACTTACACAATACTTACATAATACAAAATTACTCAAACACTTTAATACAAGATCTTGCAAAGTGAATGCTTCCATTTTAAATTACTGTAATTATGTTAATTATTATTTGAGAAGTGGGCAATTTATACTAATCGAACGAGTAACTGCCCGAGTTCACCTGCCATCTACATTTGAACGTGTTGTTACTACTACCTCTGGGAAGCGCCGTTAACGTAAAGTCGTTTTGTGTTCAGCGGCTCGCAAAGTCGGAATCACTTATCACTGTACATCATGAGTAAACTACAGGAGCTGAAGTATTTTGGCCACTGTGGGAAAAGTGACAACAGATATACTATACAGTAGTGAACCTAGGAAGACTTGAGTATCGGTTGGATATGTGTTGTGCGACACGAGATGTACACATTGAGAAATTGTAATGGGCAAGCTTGGACAGTTTTCCATGTTCTAATGCACATTACAACGTTCTCAGAAATAATTAACATAATAACAAAAATATAAAATTGTAGCATTATTTTTGGAACTCTCGTATTACATTCGTTACAACTACTTTCTATTTTCAACTGTCATTTTTCTTTTATGATTTTGACTTATGTAATTAATTACTCAGTCTGAAGTGAATTTTTACAGTGACTCCCGACGTAAACTTTCAATCGACGGCCTATGCCCCTATCAATATATTTTTATGAAAATAGATGCATATTGCTAAATAATTACTAGTTGATTGATTTGCGGGCTCCAGTTTGGGAAAAATGGTCTTGCACATTATTTACTTTTTTTCAGGAAAATGGAGTAAACATAGACGAACAAATAAGGAAAGAACAAATTTTGTTAATTAATTTAACCTATTAACGCATTGTTTCTACGTTAAATTTTTAAATTCAATTCATAAATAATACATTAATTAATTAATAGGTCAAATTAATTTTAAAANCCCCATATCTCCCACATCCTTATAGCTATCGAGACGCAACCACCCCTATGCACGAATGGAGACTTGGGCTACCACCACATACAAACACCATTCACGTGCGATGTGTAGTTTTTGCGGAAAAGTGAAATATAGGGACATACACGTCCATTTTTATATATATAATATAGATATAGATATAGATATAGATATAGATTATCCGAGAAGCGGGAAATTTACACTAATCGATCGAATAGCCGTCCGAGTTTCATTTGCCATCTACTATGTATATTCAAACGTGTTGTTATTACTACTCTTAGAAAGCGCCGTAAACGTAACGGCGTTTATGTTCAGCATCTCGCAAAGTCGGAATCACCCATTATTGTACAACATGAGTAAACTATAGGAGTAGGAGCTGAAGAATCTTGGCTACTGTGGAAAGAGTGACAACGGGTATGCTATAGCGAGCTTAGAAAGACTTTGAGTATCGGTTGAGTGTCGCACGACATGGACTCAATGTGTCCATGTCGTGCGACACATTGAGTCACATGTGAGACATTGAGACACGTGAGACACATTGAGGAACTGTAATGGGCAAGCTTGACAGCTTTCCATATTCTAATGTACCAGTACATTACGTTCTCCGATAATAATATTAAGTTCATAGTAATGAAGCGTATCAAGATCAAAAGGCTATAAAGATAAAATAATAAGATTCTCATACTTTCCCACGCTATGTGTATATAACTGCCTGATAATAACGAGCTTTTTTTAATCAAATCAATAGCTCACAGCAAGTATTTAAACCATAAAATGTTCTGAATACAGTTTTTTGTAATCAAATCTGCTTAACATAAATTTCGTAGAGATTATTTTAAATAAAACAAGGAACAGAAATAAATAAATTTGGTAAAAAATCAAATTATATTTTTAACTACACAAATGTTTCATTTAATGAAACAAGTAATAAAAATAAGTGTTTTTAAATCAATATTAATTAATACAGCTATTAGGAATTTAATGTACCTACGTTATGTATAACTATAATATTTAACAACTAGCAGATAGGTCCGACGTTGCTCAAGCAAAAAGTAACGATAGCGAAGATTTAGATTATTACGTTTTTAAGAAACAAGGATTACAACTAAAACTGCGTGATGACTAATTGTCAAAAAATTACATATAGTTATATTCAAGATCAATTAGTATACGCTGATGATTTTTTGAAGTATTCTCTACAGAAAAACCCAAGAACATAATTAATTCAGAGTTAGAATGTGAAAAGGATTAAAATTTCAAATAATCTTAACTTATATATCACAAATTGGAACTGCCAAGGCTTAATTCACAAAATAAAAACTCAAGATTTCTTTTAATTACTATATAATACTGATATCTTGGGTATAACTGAAACCTGGCTAGTCACACCAGTTAATGAAAATATAAAAAAATAGAATGGAATATACAATTATATCTTCTGACGCGCAGAAACCAATAGGACCTGGGAGACCGCATAGAGGACTTTGTCTAATAGTAAGAAAAAACATTGGTTCCGTAAAATTTATACAAAAAGCAATTAATTATATTCTAATCTTATTACAAACTGATAATACTGAAATGAAACATTTACACAAAAAGTTAATTATTACAATGTTGGTTTACGTTCAGCCTGACCAGATAGACTTACTAAATGAAATATTGAAAAATCTCGAAAAATGGAAAAATATCTCTCCATATGTATTATTATTTGGTGATTTTAACTCCAGAGACTATTCTTTGAACAATTTACTAAGAGACTGTGAAGGACTAAAGAAATATCATCCAAAATATGAAATTAAAGAATTAATATGTACGAAGCAAAATCAAGACTTTAGAACAAAATTAAACAACCTTACGTTAAATCAAATGTATAAAATTAATGGTTTTTTTAATCAAATCGCCAAAGAACTAAAAAAAATTGTCTTTTTACTGATTATGTTACTTAAAGTAAAATATTTAAAAGTTAAATAACGATAAAATTTACTATTAAACGGTTATTGTAATATTATTGATGATTTTAAAGATAATGTATATGAAATGATTGATAGATAACAAATGTATATTAATATAGGCTATCATTGAAAATTATTTGCATTAAGGCTTAGCCTTAATGCAAATAAAAATATTTGATTGATTGATTGATCGATCGATTGATTATTACGTTATAGTCAAACTTACCTGTTTTCAAAGAATGCAAGAATTAGGTCCTCCTGTTTCCAGACTAATTAGAGAATTTTTAGATGGGTTAAAAAATGTTCGATTTCCCGCAAAAACGAAAAAACTGCATCTGCGTCTGTAAATCTCGCCCGTCGCTTTCTCTTAACACTTCCATTGTTCACATTTCCCCACGGGGGAAGTGTTAACAACCTCACCCCCGCTGGTGGAATTTCGAAAAATCCCTTCTTAGTGTATATTCTCGTGACATACCCTATTAAAACGCAAGCAAAAACGCAAAAAACCGCATCTGCGCCTGTAAATCTTGCACGTCGCTTTCTCTTAACGCTTCCATTGTTACTTAACATTTCCATTGTTAACACTGCCATTGCTACTTAACACTTCCATTGTTGATGGAAGTGTTAAGTTTTAATCCGTCCCTCTCCCCCGGAGGAGAATTTCGAAAAATCCCTTCTTAGTGTGCGTTCTCGTGACGTACCCTGTGTACCAAATTTCAACTTTCAACTCCTAACCGTTTGGTCTCTGCCCTTATTATTATTATCTACCCATCTCGATTATATATAGTCTATAGATTAAAAAATATATAATGCCGAAAACGAAACTTATTTTATATATTAATCTAATTTTATTTTAATATGCTATTTAAATTACAAGATACTTAAAAATTATAAGGGCTGACTTTTAATTATTAAGAGAAAAATTACTTGTTTAAAAGATGAGAAATAGATAATAGAATGCATAATACTTTAAACTTTAATGTAGAGAACATTGTTATTTTTTGTCTCTCTCTCTCTGTGTGTAGATAATGTGACTGTCAATGGACAAGTCCATAGACAGTCACACACACACACACTAATTAGTCCCATGGACTAATAAAGTTTAAATTTGGCAGGAATACTGTTATACATCGCAAATTGATGCTCTTTCATTTTGATGACTATCACATTGCCGATTATAAGTCAAAGGAGATGTGTCACATCGTGAGTAAGGTCAGACTTTAATAAAAATTTTGATCGTTATCGGAATTTACAAATGAAAAGAAAACTCTCCCTGCGATAAAAAATAAGATACTTTTCTAACTTTCAGAAATGACAATTGAAAAAAGCCGAAATTCCTTTCTGCCTTCCATTTATACTTCGTTATTTACTATCAAATTTTTATTTTTATTTGTACTTCGAGGATTTTATATCTAAACATTGATTTTATATTAACATTTAACAAAGTTAAATTAACTGAATAATTGTTTTAATTCAACCACTTTCAAAAATTGCTTATAATTAAATTGAAACTTACTTTCCGTCATATTTACTCATTTAGTTATTTGAGATCAATGCCACGTTATCGAGATTTTTATCTAGATAACATGTTTTTGATTTGAAATACTTAATAGGTTTATTAACTTCAATCTACAATTAAAATAAATGAGTAATTTTATGTAGAAAATCATTAGCAAAACCTGACGAACAGGTTCACATCGTTACAGTGAATTAAAGTACTTTATGATTGCTTGTAAATTATTTTTCTAATCGCTCATAAAACATTCTGAGAAAATTGATACTATATTTTCAAACTTTCGATAAAATGATTTATATATTTTTAACAATTTTCTTGCTTTCTCTCTCTGTTGAAGCAACTCGTGTTGAAGAATACGATTATATCATAGGTAAGTAATTTTAATATTGCATTAAAATGTCATATATTATTTTATAAAAATTAATATTAATGCGTAATTTTCTGAATTATTTACTATACAAATCTAAAAGTAATAAATCATAAACTAAGTAATTATGTTATATTATTTATTAAGATTTTTCGTTTTTTATTTTACAAGTCGGATCTGGTGCTGCGGGATCGGTTTTGGCTAATAGATTGTCCGAAGATGTTTGGAATAAAGTACTTCTGCTGGAAGCTGGAGAAGAACCAGCCCTAGCAAACGACATAATTTCACTCGGTTTGAGCGAGATTAATTCTAAATACGATTGGAATTTTACTTCGATACCAAGTGAAAAAGTTGGTTGGGCTCTGAAGAACAGGGTAGGAGTATTTTCAATTATGTATTTTTACAAAGTCTTACAATTATTTTAATTTAATTTAAAATTACAGCGCATTATAAGCCTAACGTATTTTTACTTTCTTTAATATTTGTTTGTTGAAATACCTTAAACAAATAACAGAAAATGCTGCTCATTTGGTTCTTCGTTATAGATTTCATTTAAGAAACCTGTGTATAGAACTTATTTTCTATAAATTATTAAGACAACTACTAACAAGTAAAATTTTATATTTACGCGCAGATCAGTGAATATAGTTTTCTAAGTTATAATAAAAATATAAAAAAATGATTTAAAAGTACAAGCGTGAAGGAAATTGAATACATTCAAGCTTGTTTCAAAAACTATAATAGATATATATTTCATATTAAAATTTCATTAGTCGAGATGTAGAACTAGAAATGCTCCAAAATTCGTATCAGTATCGGTGAAAAATATCTCAAAAAACAAAAAGATATTGATATTAATATTCATATTTTAAAATTTAAATTATATCATAAATTACATTGTATGTATTAAAATAAGATTCAATGTAATTCGTAAAATATTCAATTAATTTACGTGTAAATTATTATACATAATTACACCAGTTTCATTTTGCCTGTTTAAAAATTTTTTATGATCGTTTGTTTAACTCAAGAATTACGGAAAATCTACACTGCTCTCTCTCACTGTCACGAAACAGTGTAAAAGTGGATAGATATTCGTGGCAAAACTGCAATTGGATATACGTTGTATTTGTTCGTTTTCTACGCACTATTTGTTGCAACAGTGATTTTTTATTATATAATTTCAATTTCATACAATTTTTATTTTATAAAAGGGATTTAAATATCGTTTAATTAATCTAAACATTGTAGAAGATGATTCAATCGATCATAGCGACGCATAATAGGAATCTTTCATCAGTAACGATTATTTATTTCATTTTATTACAGAAAAAATGTATACAAAACTTTTGTTTAATACAGTAAAACGTCGAAAACTCGGAATACTTGAGGTCGGTTCCGTCTAGATTTTTAATTTGAATGAAAGTTTTGTTATTGTTTATTCATCGTCTCTTTAACTGTGATTCGTAAAATTACTCTATCTACTTGCTACTTTATTTTTATTCCAAAATTTATGAGAAAAGTTTTTTTGCAAGACTTCAGATCACAATTGATTAAAAAAAATACAAGCAAAAAATTTATTCTTGAATTTCCGAAAAATGCTAAAGACTCGGTGACCCAATTATCTCATAATTGTGTAGAGTTTCGTGTGATAATGTCTATGAATAAATTACAAATTAGCATAAATTAACTATTGCAATCAAAGTGTGCCAAATTTGATACTTAAGGAAAAAAGTGGACATTTTTCAAATGTTTTATCGTGATTTCTGACATGATATATTTCCATTAACATTTCGGTGATTTTCTTTGATAATGGCATCAGTAAAAAAAATAATGTTAATTTTAGAAGGAAAACATAAAATTCTAAATTATTAAAAGTTCAATTCGAGTTGATAACACTTGTCTGATCTTTGTTAAGAATCCAATGGAGGTAGAAATATGCTATTTAAAGCACAGCGTAACCAGAGCCGTATTATATCACCTTAATATTAACACCGCTGAATAACAAAAATTTTATGCTCGTGGAATAATAAATAATTTTATTAAAATCCAATGCTTAACTCCAAACACTTAAATAAATCTTTACGATAATGCAATTCAAACGCTTATACGTTTTTAGATAAGTGTTTTTTTAATGCAACAGTATATATTTGACAATAAAGGTAGCTTTTTACCTTTATCCCGTCATAAAAAGTGAAATTAAAAAAAAGAAAAAATTCATTTAATCAATAACATTAAGAAAACCCGACAAACTTCACTCGACCAGCTCTTTGGCTCCACTCGGTCACTATTGGACACATTTCGATTTTTTCTAAGTTTTTGTAATAACCATGTTAAATATTTGTTTTTTGAAACCGTGTCCTGTTTTATAATTCTGGCATAGTAGACACTAGTATTGTGTTTTATTCCAACGACGCATGGCAAGTTTTCCGTCAAATTCCTTTATTAGTTGAGTCTACTCAACTAATTTCTTTAATCAAATTCCTTTATTAGTTGAGTAGACTCAACTAATAAAGGAATTTGACGGAAAACTTGCCATGTGTCTTTGGAATAAAACACAATACTAGTGTCTACTACGCCAGAACATGTTGAAGATCTTAGGAGGAATGAATTTCAACAGGTCCGTCATATCTTTTTTCTTTTCTCTCTCACAATTCTGACTGTAGGATATAACAAAGAGCGGTCTATCCTGTTACAAACTTTTTAATATTAATTAGCTGCATCGAAGTCATACTTGAATCTTATGGCGTAAAGCTTTGACTTTTCTAATTGTATCCAATGCATTTTAAGCATTTTATTGGTAAACCTATAACTGTTATTTTTTGACGCCTCACAACTACTCTGAGATGATAAACAATGCATAATAATGACTTTTACTCTGTAATCAACTTTTTTTGGTTGTGAATTCAATGTTAATAATTATTTTATTTTTATTTTCACTTGTCAAATCGATTAATTCTCTCAGTTATGCGAAAAATGTAAAATTATTCTAAGCATATACTATTTTATGTATTTTATATGTCGTTAGATAAAAGCTACGCCTGTAATAATACATTCTATAATGCTTACACTAATTTAAATTTTAAAAATTCTTAAAAAGAATGTACAATTTTCTTTTGCCAGTTTTTTTTCGCTTGATAAAGTTAATCGATTTGGCAAACGAGAGACTCATATATAAATAATTTTAAATTTTAATTAAGAAAATGTTATTAACGGTAAATGTGTGTTTATATTCAAAATATATTTAGGAATTTGTAGCAACAGCTGGTAAAGTTTTAGGAGGAACAGCAATGTTAACCACAGGTGTTTACGCTCGAGGGAATAAATACGATTATGACAATTGGGCTCTACATGGTGCAGTCGGATGGGACTGGAGAAATGTATTTCCTTATTTCTTGAAAATGGAAGATAACCGAGACGAATCGTTCGTACGTAACGGTGAGTGTTGTCCTCAATTAGAAACATGTTTTAAATGTTTAATTTTTTCAATTATAAATATCTAGCAAGATCGAAAAATAGTGAAAAATCGAAATATATAATATTTTCATAATATAAGCCAAAAGCGAAAAGAATTTATAACTATAAATTCTTCCGAAAGTGGAGATCGAATTGAGATATGGGTAACGTAATTGGCAACGCATCTGCCCGGAATGCGAGAGTTGAGGGTTTGAGTTCCGTTCCGGGCCGATTCTTTTCTTCCAGAAAATTCTGAATTAAATTATTTATTAAAATTAGCACGAAATGGAAAAACCTCTAATTAAATTATGTTACTTCAAATTATTAAATTAGTTTATTTTTAGCCAGAAAATAATCCGCCTGGTCGTTTGGCTTATATTATTATAGGCTAAATATTTTTTGAGTCTGCGTTGTTATATTAATGTTTTTGTAGTTATCTTAATCTTGTTTCGAAAATTCGTAATATTTGAGTTCAGTCATGGTGTTGAGTAATTAAATACATTGATCGTATGCCATTGATGACGTTTATTATACGGTTTTTCTCAAAAGTCATGGTGGAGTTTCGAAAGATTATTATGATCGAATAACATACGATAGAATCGTGAAATATGGCCACAAATAAAAGACAAACACCAAATTTTTTATCTCGATGTAACTTCCTATCATGATGACGAAATCACACAACATTACCAATGCTCAAGGGAAAATGAGGTGTCTTTGTAGCTAGCAAAATTTGATTATACCTAATCTGAAATTTGATTATACCTGCAATCTGAATACCTAATGTGTCTCACGAAAAACTGCCACATAAAAACATTCGTCATTGAGGTAGATTGCCGAAAGAAGGTGGGCGTGCAGAACGTGCACCACACATGGGCACCGTCGTCAAGGGAGACAACTGACATTTCTAATTGAGTTCCTATTTTGAATTACAAAAGGACAAAAATTGAACAAAACATTACGTTAAAAAAGTAAAATTGCGAGCTCCTATGATCCGCGTGATAATGTTTGCATCATAATATTTGTGTGGCTTTATAGTATTACTTAATCACTACAAAATGACTCTCGTTGCGAGTTTCTCCTCCGGAGAGGTATAAACGTGTTTGTACGAACTAGTATATAACAACGTTGCCAGACAATATACGAGACAATGTTATTAATACTAAAAGAAACGTGATTTTATTTTCCTTCAGATATTAAGACTGGAATGCATTGGTGCGTTTGTTATAAAATAATAATAATAATAATAAATTCAAAGCATACAATTCAAAAGTAATTTTATAAAAACTAAAACTTACAGACAGGCCCAAGATATCTAACTGGTGACGTTGACTAAAAGAAATGGGACAAAAAGCGATCGGGAAGACCATTAATTAATGACGAGTCAGATGAAGGCATTCGAAATTTTATCTGCAGTTTATAGAATTCAATGCGTAAATGTGATCAACAATTAGGACTTCAAAAAATAACTGCTTAAAGTTCTGAAAAGTCTACGTTTCACTGCTTATAAATTTCAGTTCTTATGCAATCCTCCGAAGACCTGATTTGAGAAAACGCCTGTAGTTGTTACAAACTTTACAAGTTACAAATTACAAACAAAATACCCTTAATAACAAGTTTGTAAAAACTTATAAGCTACTAGTTTTTTACTATCTACTTGTCGCAAGCAATTTTGATTGCATAAGATTACTTATTACGAGTAACAAGTGCAAGTACTTACTACAAGTTACAAGGTATAAGACATAATTGTAACTTGAAATTTTTATGTAACAGACAAGATATACTTTTGCAGTGGATATTCTCAATGAAATAGACAACGATAAGCAGTTTTTATATTGTGTAATCTTCGGTAATGAAATAGGCTTTCGTGTTTCCGGACATGTTCATTGGCACAACGTAAGAATGTGTGTTAACGAATGACCCAACGGTTTCGTTGAATATGAGGATAATAGCTCTAAAATGAAGTTTAGATATGCTATTGCCAGAGATTACGTGATTGGCCCAATTTTATTTTCGGAATAAACTGTGACATTACTTAATTATCTTGACTTATTAATATTAAAATTGTTTGCAGCATCCCCAATTTATGACAATGCACGCTTTCAGCGAGATGATACTTCTCCTCCAAACTATGACAAGATTTTTACAAAATATCTTGAGACATTTCTATGGTTCTGGACAGGAATGGGCGGATGGAAGCCACGGTCCTCATACTCTCCAAATCTGATCTCTGCATTTTTATTCCTGATGGTATTGTGAGGCAAACTATTAATAGTCTTTGTATTCGCAACATTCAACATATGAAACAGTGAATTACGAAAGTTATTCAATCTGTCACTGCTGATCAGTGGCGTACCGTACTGGGGGCGGCAGAGACGGCACTTTATAGGGGGAAAATTACCTTTTGGGGCGGCAAAATTTCACAATAAATAATAATAATATCTTGTAAAAATTTGAACCATCCTAATCTATATTTGCGGCGCGCCTACGATAGTGCTATCGTCCGGACAGTCCGGGAATCGGCTCGCCGTCCGGGTGAACTAGTAATTTTTTCATCCGAGGAATTCCTGCGAAACCTGTTGACGTATTTATTCTTGTATGATTCATTCGCGTTCATATACACCACTAATATCCAATAGAGCTATTATAAACAGGTCGCTGCACTAGCACGGAATTTTTCATTGCTTGTTCTGTGACAAGACTAAATTTTAGTCTTTTAAATTGAAATACCTAAATACGGGGGGGCGAAATTTTCCTCCACCCCGGGCGGCTGACACCCACGGTACGCCACTGCTGCTGATGTTCTTGGTTGAGTGTGGTAGAAAGTGGAATATTGCTTACATGTTCGCGGACCCATCATTGGAGCCCACATAGACTTCAGTAAACATACGGAGAAAACTATTTGATTTTTTATTTAATTCATGCTTATTATGCAATGAGCAACACTACACAAGAACGATCTGCCAAAGTAAGATATATTTTAACAAGCTCTTTCTTTAACAATCGACCGTTATTCACATGGAGAAACCCCATGTAAAGCATGCTACCAGACTATTGTTTACGCACGGATCACCATTCAGTGGCTTTAGCTACTTGGTCACTGGTGGACATTTCTTGGAAAAGATTCTTGTATTATGTCTTAATTTTAGTTTTAATGGAATAATAGCAGAACTGATACAAAGTACAGTATAAAGCATAAGATATAATTATAAATAAAGACGGTTGGATGACCAAGACAACCGCACTGGGGACGTGTGATCGAATCCAGGCGGTTGTAAAGCCCCAGAAATTTTTGCCCAGATATGTCGAGCCCTGACTTTCTCCTTGTAGGCCTGAACGAAACACGATGGGATTCAAAGAAGGCCTTCTTAGTGCCCACAATGCGAATAGATACACAGAAAATGCTATCATTTATTGTAAGTGATAGAATTTAACTTTTTTACTAAATAAAACATTTCTTTTATTGATAATATATTATTAAATTAGTTTTATCTATTTCTTTTTAAATAAGTTAAGATCCGCAACCAAAATAAGTTATAACTAAATTCTTATACTTAATTTTCAAGCAATTCTTCACGAAACAATGTCAATCTTCTAGTGTAATCAAATTACAAATTTCTTAAAGTGTTAAAGTGATTTATCAATAGTAAAATCAATGTAAAAAATACATGATTTAAAATATTTATTTAAAATAATAATATGAAAAGTTTATAATAAACTACTCAATAATTCATTTCATATAAACCTCTAGGATATCACGGGGTTGGCGGAGAATTAATTGTTCAGACTCCAGAATTTCTTTCTCCTGCAGTCAAAGCATACATAGAAGCTGCTAAAAGTATTGGTTATCCTCTCGGAGATTATAACGGGAAAAGTCAAACGGGTATAGCATCTAATAAACTTTGTGAATTCTATAAAATTGACAATTCATCTCCAAATTAACAACAAATTATTTTTTTCCAGTGTTTATGCCCAATCAAGGAACAGTTAATAAAGGAAGACGATGGACTTCGTTACGAGCTTTTATTGATCCAATAATTGGAAGGAGAAACTTTCGTTTAATTACATCAGCTTTCGTAACCAAGGTAAGTTTAAAAACAGTCTGGCCATAGAGTTTAATATTTAAAAAATAATAAAGAACTTGGTGTGTATTGTAGATTTTAATTAATGAGCATAATCAAGCATATGGCGTTTTGTTCGACCACAAAGGTCATCAGTTAACAGCATTAGCGAAGAAAGAAGTGATTATAAGTGCAGGAACATTCAATTCTCCCAAGCTTCTAATGCTCTCAGGGATTGGTCCGAAAGAAGAGCTACAAAAATTACACGCAAGTCGTATTATACGTTATAAATATAAGAATACAATTAAGTTTATAAAATCAAGTTGAAGCGAATATGAATAATTTAATAATTAGTGTATTAGAAAAAAATTTTAATTTACTAATTTCTGTATTGACTATTGTATTACTATTTGATGTAAGATTTAACATAATTTCTCGTTTATGTTTTTTTTTGCAATTTAAATTGCTAAACAATATTAACTTACACAAAGACTTTTATTTATCGAAAACGTGAGTTGTGTTCAATGTTCTTGTTGAATATTTTAAAACTAAAATTAAGTCAGAAGAGTTTTAATCATTGAATAAATACGCAAAAAATATTTAGAATCTTAAAACTCATCCATTATAAAATTTAAAATATTTATTATAAATGTTTAAATTCTTTATAGATTCCATTAGTAGCGGATCTTCCCGTTGGGCAAAACTTACACGACCATGCCTCTACTCGAAGTTTGCAGTTTCTAATAGACTCTTACACATTCGCTGATCATAGAATTACCAAAGAAGATTACAACGAAATTTTGGTTAATGGAACAGGTAGTGTTTTTCGCAATAATTTCGTAAATTTGATATATTTAATGTTTTACGTCAAAATTGTCAATATACCGAAAAAATGTTAAGATAGATTTTTCCTAAGGACTAGCGTACACGGAGTATACAGATTATTTTGGTTTTGCCTATTATTGGACGAATCTGCAATGGAAATTGAGATAACACGAATAATATTCTGTCTTGAATGATTTTATCCAATTAAACAAAAATTCGAAAATATGAAAAGAAAGTCGCACATAAAAGAAATATTTTAAAATATATGTTGGTAATATTTTAAATAGAACTCTGTCCAGAGAAAAACGATTGGAAGAAATAAAGGATGTTTTGACAGGTTCATGTTGGCTAAGTTGGAAAAAATTAAATGCAAAACACTCACTGGAGTTATGCAAGCACCGATAAAATATATATCTTTTCCATATATATGTAATATTTTTGAAAAAATAAAGAATATAATAAGAGAATTTATGATATAATTAGTTCCAATGTTTAAAAATAATATTTTTCAATATTTATTGAGTCCTCAAGTAAAATGTCTGGACTTATTAAATACTACTTTTTAATTGAAGTTGTAAAGAGCTGATAATACATGTGGGTGAACTGGCAGAGTATTAAAAATAAGGATTTCAGAGCATATTAGATCAATTGTGAAAAAATCAGAGTCATCAGTAGTTAGTGGACAATATAATAGTAATAGATGTGAGACAGTTTTAGATATCTTGAGAATATTACGTAAGGAAGAACTCAATGTAAAAGAAAGTTATTTGAGCATATTGAAATTAAAAAATGCGTGGAGATAAAAGAATAAATGAAAATGAGAGATTAAGAATACTGTATATCAATCCTAGATTTTAATAAAAACCGAGAGAGGGTCTAGGGCAAGATAGCAAGATACAGAGATAGGATATCCAGTTTCGCTTCTGAAACTGGAACTATTTTAACTGATCCGGGTGTGGTAATGTTAGGTTAGACGGTTCCGTTGGAACAGTTGGACTAAATGGTTCTTTAGAACCATTATCTTGTTCTGTCGGAATTGCTATTGAAATAGACAGTTCGTCGGTATTATACTTAATATACATATATAAGCTGCTCAGGAAAACATAATAGTAAGCTCCATCATCAAGCATTGCGATCGCCATCGCCCAATGGCGTTTACGATTTTATTACTCCGAGCAACTCATATAGATAGATACATAATAGAATGTCTTTCGTTAGCTTTTCGTTCATCTGCTCCAAATTTTTCACATTTACACTCTGGGACTCTGAGGAAACTATAGACTACTATGAAATCTGGACGCCCAATCATCTCTTCGTTATACCTCCCTGACACCGTTAAAAACTTGACAATAATATGCTAAAATCTTAAGCATGCTTTGAATTCTTATAATAACCTCCTGAAAGAAATGGGTTTCGTTTACATGTTGCTATCGAAAGAATATATAAAGAATCTGGAGTTTTGTGTTTGACTCAATTTGTAAAAGTTTGTAATGTATGAATTTCAGTTATCCAAGTTAAATATAAAAGTACATCATTTTTGTTGATGAAAGATCAGTTACGTAATAATTCATCTTGAAATGCAGGCACAAAGAATATATCGAAAAAATGCATAAGATTGCTGAAAACAAGATTAAAAAATTTTTCTCAAATGAAAAAGTTCACTATTTAATAAAAGAAATAACAGAGTAAAGACCAAATTTATTTTAAATGAGAATTTTTCTTACTATAATTTTTATTGTTTTTAATTTTAAATTTATAGGCACTAAATCTGCTTTATCTCGTTTTTATGAGCGAACTCTGATTCATGTATAATACGGTAATCATTTTACTTATATTAATAGTGTTGTGACTAATTTATTTTCTGCAGGACCATTATCGACACTTGCAGAAATAGAAGTGGCCGGATTCGTTAACACCAAGTTTAACAAATATCCAGATTGGCCGGACATGCATATAATGTGGCTCACTAATAGAGTTGAAAAAGAGTTATCAAATGCAATTGATAAAGTAATTTTAGTCTTTGTTTCTCTAAATATTTATTCAAGATATAACTTTTCGAGCTAATAACTGATATTTTTTAGTTACAAAGTATGTTTGATCAGTACAAGGACCATGATATCATCACTTGTTTTCCAACTGTTATTCATCCACGAAGTCGAGGAAGTGTAACGTTAAAATCAACTAATCCTTATGTGGAGCCAGTAATCGACTTGAATATTCTTTCTCATTCTGACGATGTGAAAATTTTAGTTGAAGGTAGTTAATTATTTAATTAGTATTGGAATTACAAGTATACTGTAGTTTTATAGAAAGACATTAAACGTATTTATGATAATAGTAAAATTAACGCATTTATTATTATAGGTATGAAATATTGTTTAACGTTGGCCTCTACAAAACCAATGAAAAAATTAGGAGTTCGACCACTGCCTTACGTTATGCCTGGATGCGAAAAATATAAACACTTCAGTGATGAATATCTTACTTGCATGGCTTTAGCATTTCCTTTCTCTGTACAATACTTCTCTGGAACCTGTAAAATGGGCGATCCCAATGATCCCACTACAGTTGTGGATGCAAGTTTAAAGTAAGTATATTTTGCAATTGTGAAACTTTTGGTTTTTAAGTCAAATATCTTCAAGCCAAATCAAATTCAATTAAAGAGTCAACGGCTAATTTTCGTTAATGCTAATTATGATTACTATGTTGTATATTAATATGTTATAAAAATTAATGAAATGTGCATAATTTCGTATTTATATTAACATCTACTGCTTTTTCATTAGAAATTTCTTAATTATAATGATTTGAAAATGACAGCTGGAGCGGTTAAGGCGTAATCTACTTCTTTGGGAGAACCAAGATCAGACAAATCGTAGAAAATTATGGGATATAGTTACTGGATATGTTGACAATCTCCCTCATATCCTAGTTTTTCCCATTCGGATAATGTCTGAATCTACAATAAATATAGAAAGATTCTCAATGCGGAAAGGGAGAAAAGAATTTTATCAAAAAATGGAAATTAATTTCTCATTAAATAGTTACACCACGAAATAGCCAACTCAATATCATCAGCAAAAAGCATAGGATGTAGCCTCTACATATATGCAAGATACCATTTAAACCAAATCCAAAAAGATATTTATTTGTTTAGGCAACGCAACACTTAGGCGATCTGCCTAGGGGAGATCTTTTTAAGGGAAACTGGCCCCTACTTAGGCGTTACAGACGTGAAGAAAACCTGGAAAACTTCACGTGCCCAGCCCGTTCGAGCCAGGCGCGAACTCACAGTGTTCAGGGTAAGAAGACCGCTTGGCCACTGGTGGGCAATAAAGTTATTTCCATCATAGGTTAGGTTGTGAATTGCATCTGCACTAATACACAAGATATTATGTCACTATAACATGCACCAATTTCTTTGCTATCTGAAACTAACATAACATGCAGAGGATGCAGCACAGTGATTTTTCATAATGTTAAATTTGCATCATAACAAATCACAACTTCAGCTCATTTACGGACTGACGAGACACTGTTTTCTTGGCATGGAGTGTATACTATGTTTTCGTAATCAGCGCAATAGAACATATTTATGCGATGCTCCTATTTTGCTCAAAATTGATGAACCTAATCATGGTAACGCATACAGTACAGTACAGTGAAAACTGCTTAGGCGATCACCTGCATTCGACGGGCACCTGTCAAAACGGGCAAAAATTTCTGGCACGGAATAGTTTATCCATAGAGTCTTCGTATAAGTTACCTGTATTAAACGACCACCTGTGTAACGCGACCGCGGGCATCGATTTTTAGTCCGAAACAACATACAACACCTGTAATAAGCGACCACTTTCGCGAATGTATCTGGTCTAAACTATTGTAAGAACCCATCTCAACAACGTTTCCCTTCCAGCTATAACAAATTAGTCTAAACTCTCGTTCGAACTCATCCCGGGCACTTCTCCCACCCTTGAAATTAGGTGCAGGTGTTAATAAATTAGTCTAACAACAAAGGAAATTCATTTCAGTTTGTTGGAAAATGTCCGAAATGCAAAGTGCTGTCGTTAGAAGATCGTATTAAAGTTATCACAACAGCAATTAGCGGCGAAGTTTAACTGTGGGAAAACAAAATTTATTTTACCCTAGACCTACAGTATTTTCCTTGGGGGTGTAAAATATTGTACACGATACAATTAATCGGCTGATCTCATCGTTTGATAAAATCTATTTTTATTTATTTATTTTGAAGCTCATATACAGTACACGTGCGATAAATAGTTTCTGTATCAACCTACCTTATTTCCACGATATTTTTAGAAAAATAATATCCAAGTAATTTTCGCAGGCAAAATATTCAAAAAACAATAAACGCATTAATGCAAAAATCAGTTTTACTTCCTTTTTCGATTCCGCGATTGTAATGAAATCGTATAATGAGAAAAAATAATAAAATCGTTTTATTATTAATTAATAATTTTTCTTATTGTACTTAATTAATTAAGAAAATATTAAATATTAAAAAATACAGTATTTTTAAAGTTAAAATAAGATTAAACTAACGAAAACCAAAAGCAAAGTGATGGAGAGATAGGACGCGCTTGTATATTGATGACTTAATAAACGTAACTGAGGAGAGAACGAAAAGAACCGAGTCGAATTAATTAAGTGGGGAAAAAAGAAAGTGTGCATTATAATCGAGAAAATGCGAGTATTGTATTAATCTTTAAAATAAAATACAATACCAATATAGCCCTATCGTTAAAAAAATTCGCTTATTTTTGCTCACCTCGAGTTTTGCTTAGTAGAAATGGCTAAAAAATGCGCAAAATACGTACGTAAATACGTTATTACAGGACCACCTGTATTGGACGACCACCTGTCTAAAAGACCACTTTTTGAAGGAACCGTGGGTGGTCGCCATAGACAGGTTTTACTGTACATTGTATCGTACCTTCTTGTTCCGTTTCACCACACACTTTAGTGTGCGGTGAAACGGAAACTCTATGATACAGTTTTGAACAGGACTCTATGATACAATTTTGAAGTATTTACAGCAAGTATTGTTCATACTGAAATAAGTCAAAAATTTAAATTGGATTAATAACTTTCGAAATTTAACTCTTCCGAAATCCATTTTTCGAGAACTTCAAAATTCGACCAGATGAATTTTCGAAAATTAAATTATGCACTTTTATACTTCGGTATTTTGTTATTCAATATACAGTATATTCCACTGAAAATAATGTTATCTAACGAAATATACAGTATATATATCGAATCAAATGTTGCTCTATATTCGATCACCTGTATAATTTAGGAGTGATCATCATCTTAAACGTATCTCTCAACCCTTCTAAAACGACAATCACGAAAGTTTTTATGTATGCCTATTATCTTAATATACGAGAGAACAACGATTATTTGTACAGTGACACTTACGACAGCAATATACCTGTAGTCATAAGCTGTTAGCACAAACATCTAAAACTTTTATTGCAGACTCAAGTTGATCACGATTGCATAAAGGGCCGCTCCTTCTAATCTATTGCCGCCATTTTCCTTTTATGTACTCTCGAATGCACAAACTTCAAGTTGAAACTTATAGATCACATTTGCAGTTTGTACTTTTCCCGCAATTACAGCGGTCAAATTTATGCGCAGATCCAATATAGATGCCTTCCTCTTATTTATTATTGTGTTAGATTATTATATTGAATTTGAACAAGATTAATTTACTGTGATAAATGTATATTAAACATTAACAATATCTTTTGTGTTATGTTAATATTTTATTTTCTGTAATTTTACAGAGTAAAAGGCGTTCACAGGTTAAGAGTGGTCGATGCATCTATCATTCCAATAATCATAGGAGGTCACACAATGTCGGTTACTATGATGATCGCCGATAAAGCTGCAGATATGATACTTCATCAGTTTGAAAAATAATTTATGCAACTTTTTATAACAGCTAATTAATTGAAACTGATTTCAAAGTTGTTAATAATTAATTTTTAATTAATTTTTGATATAAATAACAATTAGCTTTCAATTTTAACTTAATTTCTAAAGTGAATTTAAACGCCATATTTGGAGAAAGATGAATTAGATGTGGAGGATCAATTTCATGGCCACCCGACAACGATTGATTATTTTCTATGGCGGTTCATACGGGACTGTCCATAAATTACATCCACATTTTTCTTGAAATTTTTACTCCTCATCCTCGTCTTATTCCAGTTTGTCCAAGTTTTCGTAACCCCCGCACCTCTTTGGACGTTCGAAAAAACTTGAGCTCCCCTTATCATTTTATGAATAAAAGATACCATAAATAGAAATGAAACATACAACAAATTTTGAAATAAATACAATAAAATGTATAAACTGTGTAAAATGTAATGAAATAAACGGACGTCCACTGAAGTTCAATCTCTTCCTTGTCCGACTTTTTCCGACTTGTCTTAACCTCCTCCCTTCCTTCCAGTGTGGACATCATTTATAGACAATCCCTAAAGGATCAAGTTTTTGCTTCAGCAATCGACCATGATATGAAGCAAAGAGTGAAGGATGCATGTGTTTAAGTAACACCAAAAATGTAGTAGTCTATTCGGCAAAACTTTGTTACTCGATTACTGAAAATTTTATATGAAAATGTTTGAACATTTGTCAAATAGCTGAAAAAATAAAGGAAAAGGAATTAATTAGCTCAGAGAATTTACTGAGTGTTTGTTGCAATTATTTTCGAAGTTCGTTATATGATGGTAAACAAATTACCAATTTTCTTTGAAATTTGCTGGAGCGCAATACACACTACATAGGAGAATTATGTGGTATTAACTGAAAGAATATTTACTAGAATATGATATACAGATGATTTCATATCAACTCTTAAATCTCGTTGTATATGTACTGGTTTATACATGAACTGCTACAATTTGTAAACCGCGTTATGTGGAAACCATGTTGTACAGTATAAGTAATGCGTTATACGAGAGTCCGGTATGGAATTGTAGTAAGTAACGTTGAGAACAGATGGCAATTTTGTGCAATGCCGCTCGGCCTTTTACCCAAGCGGTTATCGCCGCTCGGAGACATGAAACTTTCAGACTTATAAGCTAAACACTAAATTTTCAGAGACCCGTTTTCGAGAAACGCTTGAGAAGTGGATCCTGTTATTTGGACAAGGAGCTGTTTGTGTTTAAGACTACTTGCTCACCAGGTCTCATTTGAATCGGAGATCCGAATGTCTGATCTTCTCCTTATAAGTGACAGCTTAACATGTTACTTTTGCTTTCCATATGCCAATTAAGGCTACCAGCATCTGCATTAATTAGTAATTAAAACTGATGGCGATAAATAATTTGAAGTGGCGAAAAAAATTAAAAACTGGCAAATGGTTGGCGATATTTTTAAATTTTTCAGGTCGATCTCCTAATACGAAATAGTTTTTACATAAAATTTAACATTAAAAGTGAGTGATGTTTTAGTGTTTAACTTGAAAAAGTCAAATAAAATGTTTGATTTTTGCGAATAATTTATTAAATTTTGCTAACAAGTAAGTTACAATTATTTCTTTTCTAATCAAAGGTATTAACTAAAGTTTCTATATTTTGTTTAAATATTAACCGTTTTGTATTATTTTTACTGTTTTTGACATCTGGAACCAACCTTCCATTTTTCTATACGAACAGCATTTTTTACGCAGATTTTACGAGAACTTATCTACTTATAACAGAATTTGATCCATTACCGACATGATGATAACATTTGAACGATTATAATTAGCCTTGAGAAAAAATATATTTGAGTATATTCTTGAAATGTATAAAAAATATGAACATAAATTATAATTAACATTATTTTAAAATCATTTATTGATGATATAAAAAAATTACAATAATACAATGCTATATTATATTTGCTGTTATATTACTGTATACAGTACTGTACAAATAAATGGAGAATATATCTCATTATCAATGATATAATATTTATTTATGACAATATTAACAGATTTCTTATCATATCTATTGCCGATATGAATATTTAGCAAAACTGATATAAAATAAATAAATTTTTTTCATTTATAAAGTTAATAAATAAATATCAATATATCGATTAATATTTATTTCATTGGTTGAAATATTTAATGCCGATATGAATTTAACTACGTTAATATGAATTATAAAATAATTTTGAATATCTTAAAATTATTTTATTTAATTTTAATGGATATTCGTTAATAAAACATTTATAATATCGATAACATAATGCTAAATTTACATTCTAAATATTTATTTTCAAAATACAGTAGAACCTCCATTATCCGGACCTCCATTATCCGGATTTTCGATTATCCGGATTGTTCAAAATAAACAAAAATTTTACGAATTTGCTGATTTGCACTTGGCGAATTACGGCACTGTTTATGTACGTGATGGAATGCATA